TTTCCAAAGTGGCTGTATCATTTTTACATTTCCATGAGCAACAAATGATGGTGCGATATGAAAATTCACCCAAAAGTTAAGCGAAGTTGCCCAAAGTCACACACCAGTGGTAGCAGAGCTAGGACACAGTCCCCATGCTGCCTCTCTCCAGACGCCACTCTGTCCTCTTCAGGACCCCACGCAGCTGGCCTGTTTGTGTGGGAGTCGCTGGGAGAAATGGCAGTTGAAACAGTTGTTGTGGATGCATTTCTTGTAGAGAGTTTGAGGGGAGAAGAGGCCGGCCGTCACGGAGACCTGAGAGCCTAGCAGGTGGGGAGGAGTCTGCACATGAGACTGAGAAGGTGTAACCGGAGGCATAGGAGGGAAGCCAGGGAAGAGACGTTGCCAGGAAACCCTTCCAAGGGGAAAATTTTAGCGAGAGTGTGGTCAAGGGCAACACAGGGATGCTGAGCATTAGCAGGACTTCCACCGGAGTCATTCTGGTTAAGTGTGGGGTGGGGACTGAAGGGAGAATTGGACAGAGTCTGATTTGGGTGGCCCGAAGAAGGAATGAATGAGCCAGCAACTTGAACTCTACCTGGCTGTGAGGGGTGGGGAGATAGGAGAGATGGTGGCCTGGAGAGAGCTGGTGGTTTTGTCTGTCTTTGTGTTTGGCCAGGAAAGATACCTCGTGTTTACTTAAAATTGCTAACAAATTAGTTCTAATTAGTTCATTCCTCCTTTCTTTTATAACACCGCCAACAAAAGCCATATCCCCAGTCCCTTGCCTTCTCTAATTCCTTAACAATGACTTTATGAACAGCTATCTTCCTCCCCCTCTGTCTTCCTTTCTTCCCCTTCGTCCCCCTAAACCCACTCATGAGTAGAAAATGTCCATTGGATTCGTGTTTCTAGGAGTTCCACAATTTCGGAAGGCTAACAGGTCTTAGAAGGAACACATACTATCAACATCTCCATTTCTGGAGAATTCCTAAAGATCTTTCCAGCATTTGTGACAGAGCCCCACAGATCTCCTTGTCCTCCATATGCATATCTGCTATTTATCCATTTATATTGTTCTAGTTGGAAAATAAACAGGGTGAGGCAAAAGTCGATTTATACTTGCAAGTATGCAAAACATGGAGTTTATTCTTGTATTATTACTTGTTAATTGTTGTATTATTTTCCATACAAATGACTGTAAACCTATTTTTGCCCCACCCGGTATTATTCTAAATTCTAAATTCTGAATAGCCACTTTACAAATATAGTCTGGAACATTTCATAATTTCAGGACTTCCTTTTTTCATTGTTTTTTATGCTCTTAAAACCTTTTACAAGTGAGGTTTTTTTTTTGTTCTGATGAGGAAGGCAGAGTCATATTATTTCTCTCCTGTTAAAAATGAGGAAAGCAAACCTTAGACCAGTTAAATGATGCCGCTGAAAGTTTCTGGTCACTTATGTTTTCTCTTTTGTTGGCATGTACTCTGGTTCCTTTTCAGGAGCCAGGTGAAATGAATGTCTTAGAGGGAAGGAAGAGACATATCACCACCTCCTGAGGTTGTTTTTCTTTTTGAGAGAGGAAAAAAGAAACATTTGCTGTGGGAGAAACATCTGAAATAAAGAATGACAAAGTCATTGAGTGAAGCCCTCTAATCACGGGCTTCTGGTTGTGTGAGTGTAATTGGGAGTACGGAAATAATTTTTTTTTTAAATTTTACTTATTTACTTTTAAAGAGGGTAGGGAGGGAGAGAGAGAGAGAAACATCAATGTGCGGTTGCTGGGGGTCATGGCCTGCAACCCAGGTATGTGCCCTGACTGGGAATCGAACCTGCGAAACTTTGGTTTGCAGCCCACACTCAATCCACTGAGCTATGCCAGCCAGGGCAGAAGTAATTTTTAAAACACTTTTTTGTCCCTATGGGTTCCAATAAAAAGCCTAGCTCCAAATCCCTGCTTCCGAAATAATTTCAAACAGAGGCTTCTCCATACCATAAAAGAGTGCTGTAAACTCACGGGTGCCTAAACAAGAGCAAAATATTTTCACTTTGATAGTAACATATAAGGGAATTTAATATTACAACTTCAAGTAGGCCCGTAACTATGTGTACAAAAATTAGCATGAAAATACTGTAAGAAATTTAGCTTTTTGAGCTTATCGTGATCAACAGTGAAATTGGACCGTGAAATGCATACTAATTATAATAATAAAGCAGTTTTGCATAGCCCCCCCTCCCGAGCCTTTCACAGTGCATTCGTTTACTTGTGCTTTTCTTTCTTCTCATCCAAAGACAGGTCAGAACTTCTGTGGTCTCACCTGACCCCAATCATTTCACTGTTGTCAGTTCTTGTTCTCAATACTATCTAATGTATATTTTTATTCTTTTTTTCACATGGTGATAAGGGTTTTTTTAAAGATTTTATTTATTTATTTTTAGAGAGGGAAGGGAGGGAGAAAGAGAGAGAGAGAGAGAAACATCAATGTGTGGTTGCTGGGGGCTGTGGCCTGCAACTCAGGCATGCGCCCTGACTGGGAATCGAACCTGCCACTCCTTGGTTCGCAGCCCGCACTCAATCCACTGAGCTACGCCAGCCAGGGCTGATAATAAGTTTTTTGATAGCAGACTGATGACATCTATTTTATGCTCAATTCTGGAGTCATGCTTAGATATTTCCAGCCGCTTCACTGGCTAATCTCACTGAGTTTGGCTGGTATTAGTTATGTGATATATAAAATGTAATATTCTCAGCTGTCTTCTCTTTCAGGAAGCCTTCATACATCTCTCTGGTTGGATTTAGTCCCATTTCTGTGCTCTCCTAACATCCTGGGTGTGCGTCCATGACGCTGGATCTCGCAGACTCACTGTTTTGTAATGTCCAGTTTAAAATCTGTCTCCCACATGGTGATGTGGGCCTGGCTCCTTACATGGCCAGCCCATAGCGCAGTGCTGAGCATTTCATCGAGATCCAGTCTTCACTGGCCTTTCACGCAGTAGAGGTCTTTCTCTGAGAGCAGGGAGATACTTTTGAAGGTAATCTTCCATGGTTAGCGCTTCTGGCTGCATTCCTATGTAACACTTAGAACTCACGTTTTTAAATCCTTCCCTGGTATTTTCAGCGACAGGCAGCTCCCACCCCCAGTGTGCAGTGATGGTAGGTTAGAGGGAGATTTGGTACTTGCTGTGTCTTCTGTTCACATCCTTAGAGGCTTCCTCTGTAGAGCCCACATTCCCCTGGAGCCTCTTTGTGTGGATTCTGTCCTCTGAGGCCGTCATCGGGCCCCAGTGGGAGGGTGCCAAAGGGCTTTGTTTACTTATGACAGTTACTGAAATGTCTTCTTGCCCGTGGCGGGCCCAGGAGGCGTGAGCATGTTCACGCTGGTGCAGAGTGCTGAACGGAAGTCGGTAGCCAGCTCAGAGCTCATCTCACGAGGCCTCCTTGCATTATTTGGGTAACAAGGAACATGGTTTAGCCACCTTTTATTTGTTGCTGGATTTCTGGGGTGGAGCCTGGACACTCAGAGTTCACTGGGTAAAGTGCTCAGCACAGTAACTGGCACAGGGGTGCTCGTAAGGATGACTCCTCCTCCTCCTCGTCCTCCTCTTTCTCTTTCATCATTATCGTCATCATCAACTTCTGAGCTGAACACGTCTTATTTTTGGGGTCTTATTTACAATGTGAACAGTGAAGTTGCCGTAGCGGGCCGTAACTTTTCCATGTGGTTGAATGTGTCCATTTGAAAACCACCTGATTACAAGTGTCTAATCGTACATACTTCAGTTCTCTTCCCTGTCAGGCTCCAGCCAGATGCTAGGAAAATACTTCCTTGGTAGGACTTTGCAGTTCCATGGTATTTATCACTAGAGCTCTTCAAGACTTTCCTTTTGCCCTGACTGGTCTGGCTCAGTGGGTTGGGCATTATCCTATAAACTGAAAGGTCACCGGTTAGATTCCCAGTTGGGGCACGTGCCTGGGTTGCAGGCAGGGTCACTGGTTGGGGGCATGTGGGAGGCAACTGATCAGTGTTTCTCTCCCTGTCTTTCTCCCTCCTTTCCCCTCTCTCCAAAAATAAAGAAATCAAATTTTTTTAAAAAAGATTTTCCTTTCTTGTTCAGCTCATGTCAGATAGCTGTAAATATGTTAGTTTGCTTGCTAATGTTAAATCCCAGTAGCCCAGAACAAAGTAAATAAAATGTAGCCTAACTCTGCTACTTAATTGTCAGCCAAAAAAAATGCATGGAGGTCTTGAGGGATGCGCTCTGGGCGGGCTACTGACTTCTGTTCGGTGTTTGGTACCAGCGAGTCCCTGAATTGCCAAGCTTGCTGTGATAATGGTGGTTATTCATTTTTAGACAATAGAGCCAGTGATAGAATGCTTAAGTGTCAAACAGAGGGAATAGTAAACATTTGTTCCAGACAATGCCTAGAAATCGATCTAATAGGCAAGGCTTAATAACAGCTAACATTTGTGGGGAGAGTGGAAAAAGTTTAAATTTTTGGAGTCAGATAGACCTGGCTTTGCAAATAAGTAACATGATATGAACAAGTAATTTAACTTCTGTGGGCTGTAATTTGCTCACTCATGAAATGCACAGAATAATACTAAGCTTTCTGGGTGTTATAAGGTTTAAATATAATAGAGGTCATTTTTCCAACATTATGTCTATCATATTACATGCCACCAGCAAACAGTATTTTTAGAGACTATTATTTCTTCATTTTCTAAAATTCAGGACAACACTGATTGTTAATGTCCCATTTATTTGGTAAAAGCTCTTTGCAGGAAAAAAAAACAAAAATAAAAACCCAGGAAAACCTCACTTAACAAACCCATCCAAGGCAAGAATGAAAAAAAAATTACATTTAGAGTTGAGAAATATGACATCATCCATGACTAGCCCATACTGTAACTGTAAACTAAACTTTGGGGGTATTGCTCCACTATCCATAAATGATAGCTTATTCTCTGGGTCATCATAATGGCCTATTTACAGCATTTTAACTTTGCTGTAACCATTAGGCTCACTTCCGAAGTCTCTACTCTTCCAGTTGGTTTGTGAGAGAAACGACTCTGACAGTGATGACAATGAGACTGTGACAGAGTGTGCCGAGAAAGGTAAGTAAAAGGAAATCAAGCAGAGAGAGTAATCCGAAGTCCTGAGAGGTGACCTTGAAAGAAATGAGAAGGGAAATTAAAATGGAAATAAGACCAAGGCAGAAACAATGTAGAAATACCAAATGTGGAGAATGGACTGAGAAAAAAAAACCATAATGTACCTTGTGATCGATGACCTTTTTCAAGACCACAGGAGAGGGTGAGTGGTGGGGTAGAGTTACGTAAGACCTGTCTGGGGAGGTGGAGAGCAGGGGGAGGTGGAGAGCAGGGGACGGTGGCTGAGGTTGTAGTTGCCAGCATACAATATCCCGGGTCACATCAGAGCGTGGGAGGCACATGACTTCTTCATTTTTTCACTTGTAGTCGTGTCTGTCTTCCTCTCCACCACTTCAGACAAAACTGCGTGAGGGGGGAGCAGGGACCCGGGCCCTTCTGAGGAAACAGCCTAGCAAACGTGAGCCATGCTTTAGCCCTGAACTTCATCCTTATGGAAACCAAGTGTCCGTTCTTATGGGAACTAGAACAAAAGAGCAGAAACTCAGGATTGCCTGCTCCATAGAGAAGAAACTTGCCCAATAAGTTATTTCAGAAAAGTTTCCTTAAATAATTTCAGAAACTTGACACACGCGAGTAATGTCACCCAAGAAACAAGGAACTCCTTGAAGCAAACTCTAGAAAAGAGAAACATTAGCCTTCTACTCTGGATGACAATAATCCCAATACTTCTGGTTTCCTTTTTTTTCCTTTACAACGTCTTTTGCATATTTTCTCCTATCGATAAACCTCACACCTGTCCCCATCCAACCTCCCAGTGAGGACCTTGTCTCCTTCTTCACAGAGTAAACAAAAGTCACTCAGACAGGAACTTCCTTGACCTCCTGCTATCCAAAGGACAAATGGAATATCCATACCCATTTTTTCTCTTTCCTGTAGTTACATCGAAGGGGGTGACCCTCTACTCTATGGGAAGTAACTCCCGCCACCTGTGCACAGGTCCATTACTCCCGTCTGTCCTCCCAGGGACCTTGTTACAAGATAAAATTCTCTTTCTCCTGTCCTTTGAATTCCCCTTTCCATTGATTCTTAGCACTTACACACTCAGATGTCAACTCAGAAGTCTGTAACAGGTATCCAGAAGCACACCCAACATTTCCCCTGGCATGTCTCAGACATCTCTAATTCAGCACGTCTAGGAGTGAACTCATCCCTTGCCTCCCATGAACTTCCTACTCCTTCCCCTTCCCCTCAATCTTGCACTCTGGGAGGAATGGCTCTGTAACACAACCAGGTGTCTAGTTAGAAATCTGGAAGTTATCCTTGATTCCTCCTTTCTGATCAACCTCCATAGCCAACAAATCGGAAAACCTTGTTGGCTCTCATTTGAAAATATATTCAATAACCAAGCATTCTTCCCCATCTCCATTCCAACACACTGGCTTAGATAACCTTCCCCTCTCACCTGAATGTCTATAATTGACTACTAACTGGTTTCCCCATCATTAGTATAGGTTTTGACTAATCTCTTTTCCATACTGCAGCTGGAGGCATCTCAAAAAAAAAATCCGAATATGGTCATGCCACTCTCTTCCCCTTTAAAACAATGGTTTCCCATTGCACTTCAGATAAAGTCCAGGCTCCTTAACGTAGGTTACAATACTGTTCTTGAGCTACTGTACTGACTTTTTAGTCTCATCTCTTGCCACATTCAATACTTTGGTCATTCTAAATGTCTTTGAACTTTTCTTAATTGTCATCTACCCACCCACTCTTTTGCCTAGCTTAAACTTCTTTGGCTTCTAGACTAAATTAGTGCTCTGCCTCTTCATAGGACATGCTACTGTAATTACTTGTTTAGTTCTTTGCTAAAGTATAAGGGCAAGAATCCTGTGTGTCTTGCTTATCAATTTAGCCTTCTCCCTGTTTACCCCCAACCTCCTCTGCCAACCATTCTAATGCCTTGCTTAGTAACTGGCGTCTAATGGGTTCACAGTAAGTTGTCCAATTAATTACCTTTCAGAGTTTTGTTATTGTTTCTCTTACTAAACTCAATAATCTTGATTTCTCCCCTGGAGTCTCAGAGAATATAATTTCAAAACTTTTAAAGTCTCATGTCTGTGATTAGAAAGAGAGATTAAGTTTGGATGTTGTCAGAAAAACAAATGCTATGATGCCTTAGTTATTATTCCTTAAGGATATAGGCATTTAGAGAAATCCCCTTGTCTCCATATGAAGGTCATATGAATGTCAACACATATATATGGTAATTTATGTATAAAGGCAATATCTGCCATTAGGGGGAAAGAGTTTTCAAGAGTTCTTGTTTGTTTGTTTGTTTGTTTTCTTGGAACAGATATAATGCTATAAGCAAGACAATCTTGGGAAGTTCTAATGTGGCCAACATCGTCTCAAAACCATTTGTTGAGTACTTCTTAGAGAAAACATTCCACCTTATAAATTCTGCAGCCCCAGAGCCAGGAGGAACCTTTGCTGTCATTTTGGCATGCTTCCTAGACACTGTCTGGGAATTTAGTCTATAGCATCTCTGACAGTCATTACTTACTTATGGACTTTCAGGAATGGCATTCCATCGCTGAAGAGGCCACCTGCCCCACTATTGGATGCTCTAGTGTCACAATATTTTTTCTTCTATTTCCTTTTCCCTTCTCTAAACTAACATCTTTCTTCCTGCCACTTCCACACATTAATCCTCCACTGCAATGTAAGTCCTCGACTTAAAAGCTTTAAATATTGGAAAGGAAGAGGTGGTGCAGGCAAAGGGAGATAACTTTCCTGAGCACAAAGTATCTTGCAGGCAACATAGTGGGTACATTGTATATGCTAACCCCTTAAACAACCTAGTACAGTAAGGAGCATTAATAACATTTTACTCAGAGGTAAGTAAGCCTCCCCCCATTTGATTATCTTAAGGTTGAAATGCAATTTTTTTAGAGCCCTAAACATTCTGAATCAAGAGCCTGGGGTGCTAATTTGTACCTTTTAATAGATAGTTGCATGGAATTGGCACCTTTTCACTATTTCTGAAATTGGGAGCACAGTCCTTATTGTCCTAGGTAACCTTAAAGAATTTTTTTTTGAAGATAGAGTCTTCACCAGTCATGTTAATGAAAGTCTTTTTGCTGCATGAACACATCATGGCCTTTGGAAATCACACCCAACAGAACTCTTTTGCCCTCTTGAAGTGAGAACATCTTTATTATTCAAGCCCCAGGGAAATTTTGGCTTATTGTGTCCTTTCCAGACTTGTGAGAAAAAGTCTATGCTGAGAAGGAGCAATAATTTTCATTGTAGCAAGAGAGTACCTATCAACACTGAAGTCAGTCCTAAACTATTGCGAGACTAAACAACTTGGACTAAAATAACATTGACATTCACGTTGAGACAGTCAGGAGTGATTTAGGGTCAGAGGTTGGAGGGTCACCATGAGAAACTGTCTGAGATTTACTAACATCCCGAAGTCAGTGTGCGGAAACTCTTAATCAGCAGTCCACTGATATAAGTCTATTTGGACTAAAATAATATTTTATGCTGTGCATATAAATTTTGGGTTTGCAACATGTGTAGGCTTTTAATAGACCGAATTTTTTAAAAAATTGCTTGACTTTCTAAATAATCAAGTCACCAAGTAACTATTTTGACTGTTTCCTCATTTAATTAATTTTATGGGTAAAGTTCAGACAAAAACCTCAAAAACCACCTATAATTCACGTTCTTTGGAAATGTTTTAACACAAGGTGGATTCTATTATTTAACTTTGGGGATTTTTTTTTCTGTTCTTTTATCAGGTTCCCCAAAGTACTTACTATTTAAGTTGGATAAGCCAGTACCACAGACTGTGTTCCCAATGCAATTTCCACTGATGACAAATGCCCTTAAAATTTTTACTGACCTGGAAGTCTGTGTGAAACCAATAGGTAGGTGTCTCTTTAAACTATAATAGATTATGTAAGAAACTCCACAACACAGATATGCCTAGAAAAACTAACAGAAACATGTCATGGTGTAAACAAGAGTTATCTTTTGGCGGTGAGAGAATGGATGACTTCTTATTTTCCTTTTGCTTCTTACTGTCTGCTTTAAATGATGAATGTATATTGCTTTTACAATAAAGACGCTTTACTTTCGAAAAAGCAGTTGCAGAGAATAGTATCCACGTATGTGAAATAGGATCTCAGGTAAAAGTGCCGGTGAGAGGATGCTAAGCGGGACACAAACGCAGCTACTGATTACAGAAACAGACGGTAATGGGATAGCCCCGCCCACCTGGCTCCCCCCGCCCCCCCCCCACCCCATGCTGGCTTCTTTGCAGACCACGAATATAACTCCAGACGCCGTGACGGGGTTTTGGTGCCAGGCTTCTTCTAATCCCTCGTGGAAGGTCAACACCTTCTTACACAGTTTGGCTGAATAATTTTGGATTTCACCTGAGAAACTAGTTTAGTTCATCTAGGCTACCTGTACTATGCTATGACAAGAGTTACCGAGATAAAAAGTGTGTGTATGTGCACAAAGGTAATCCAACCCGTCAATTGTCCTGTCTTGACTTTTCGTGGGACTGACAGGATTCGCACTAGAGAAATCGGAGAAGTGCTGCCCCAGAATGCCCTGGGAGAGGCACCGAGCTCTCGCTGTAAATACAGGCAGATCCTAGAAAGTCCGCGAAGCTGGAAGAGACTTCCATCCTAGTGATGTTTACTAAAAACTGACTTAAGTTAATAAACAAACTAAAACACAGCCTCTTAAAATTTATAGTCCACATTCAAACAAACATACACATATTCAAAAACAACCTTTTTACAATTTTTAAATTAATTTCTTTATCTATTCATCTATTCATTCACAGATTGAGCGAATGCCCTTTTGAGTATGTTCCATGTCAGAGGCAAAATCTTAAAGAGTTGGGGAATATACCAGAGAAACAACACGAAAATCCCGGAGTTCATGGAGCTCTTGTTTATACTGCTACAGAAATTTTAAAACAAACAAACAAGTAAAATATATAATATTTCAAATGCAGATGTGTGTGAAGAGGGAAAATGAACCCGGGAAGTGAGGTAGGGCATGCCACGCTGGAGGTGGGAGTGGAGAAAGAGGTGCTGTTTCAAATAGGGCGGTCGGGAAAGGCCTTGCCGGTAAGGTCACGTGGTTAAGAAGTGCAGGAGCGGGTTCCACACAACTTGAATATTCCGCTTTCGCAAACCCTTTGGGCGGCAGAAGTGGGAGCATATTGACCCAGTGTTTTTGTTATTTTCATTGCACATGTGAAATAGCCCTGCTTTCTATGCTCTGAGTGGGACCTTCAGCTCTAGAATGTGGTTCTCACACAGAAATGGCACACAGCAAACAAGTTTCCTCTGGGGTTATATGCCTGGTGAGCAGACTCAAACACCGCACTTCAGTGGTGCCATTGAGTTAATACAACCGTACACATGGACATTAGTTTCTTTTCTATTCACACACGTGTTCGCTGACTGAGGTTGGCCATGAGCCCCCTGAGGGCAAGAATGAGACAATGATTTGTTCATCCTAGGAGCCCCAGTGCCCAGCCCAGGGCCTTGTACACATCAAGTACTCAATGATGACCAACTGAATAAATAAATTTTGAGAGTAAAGTAGGCATTAACTTCAAAAAGTTTATGAGATGACTCCCAAATGGCCATAGTTACCTACTAAACTGTCCAAAGTGGGTAACTACCTTGCATCATGATGGACCTCTGGACTTTTCCAAGCCCTATATGGACCTGGCATCAAGGACTCACTCTGTAAAATACAGTGAGGGTATGTCCCCAACAGAGATATTTTCAGGATAAGCAACTCTGAGAGGCTGTTTCCAATCCCGTTTCCCCTATGACAGTGCTGTACAATGAGACAGCTGTCATTGCCACTTTTCTTCTATCTCTGTGACAGATAATCTGATTTATATCCTCTGTCTGAGATGGTGTGGAAGAGTGATATTTTCACATCAGATTGGGTGGGGGAATTATGAGATCTTATGATAACTATACTGGGGCAAATAATAAAAGGGAAAAAACTTGGTTTTATAATAGAGTCCTAATTCTAGGCCCTAATGATAATTGTATGATTTTGGACAAGTTGCTGAATCTCTGTGAATCCCATGACCCCATTTGTAAACTGGAATAACAATTACTACCGCACAGTAATAACATTCAAATTGGATAATATATGTAAAGTATTCAGTATGATGCCTAGGATGTAATGTGGATGCTTAATAGATTGTTAATATTTTCCTACTAATAATAACAGTGTTGATGAAATATTACTCAGCCATAAAAAAGAATGAAATGTTGCCATTTGTGACAACATGGATAGACCTAGAGGGTATTATGCAAAGTGAAATAAATCAGAAAGAGAAAGACAAATACCATATGATTTCACTCATATGTACGATCTAAAAAACAAAATAAATGAACCAACAAAACAGAACCAAACTCACAGATACAGAGAATATTTGTGTTGGTTGCCAGATGGGAGGCAGTTTGGGTGAGTGGATGAAAAAGGGAAAGGGATTAAGATGTAAAAATTGCCAGTTATAAAAACAATCATGGGGATGTAAAGTACAGCAAAAAGAATATAGTCAGTGCAATTAAAATAACTATGTGTGGTTCTAGATGGGCACTAGACTTACCAGGGTGATCACTTTCTAAGGTACATAAAGGTCTAATCACTGCGTTATGCACCTGAAACCAATGCGATATTATATGTCAACTGTAATAGAAATTTTTAATTAAAATGAAGAAAAATATAGCCCTGGCTGGTGTGGCTCAGTGGATTGAGTTCTGGCCTTCAAACCAAAGGGTCACCTGTTCCATTCCCAGTCAGGGCACATGCCTGAGTTGCAGGCCAGGTCCCCAGTGGGCAACCACACATTGATGTTTCTCTCCCTCTCTTTCTCCCTCCCTTTCCCTCTCTCCCTAAAATATATATAAATAAAATCTTTTAAGAAATTATTTTAAAAAGAAAAATATAATAGCATCCCTATTGGAGAACTTAGGCAAATAAGATTTTTTAATGATATTTTGAACATTTATATGATCACAGAAGAAAATGGTCATAAATATATTTGCCCTTTAAAATTTATCTTCCTCTATATGCCCATAATAATATTAATCCAAATATTGTTTATGATATCCTTAGATGTTTTATCACTTAAAAACATGAAGAAAATATTTCCAAAAATTTTCAGCCACAAAATGGGATGGTGTGTAACAGAGAACATCCCTGTGGGCTCAGAGCCCCTTACATGACAAGGGACAGCTCCACAAGCCATCACAGGGGTTGATGCAGTCTCTGTCACCTTGATACTTTTCTTGTAGGATGATATAGTCAATGAAAGCCATTATCATTCTTGGACAGGAATGTGATGCTTTAATGGGGTCTGTACTCTAGTCTGATAACTTTCTCTTCTTGTTTTTTTTTTTAGAGTCTTGAAGTATAACTAAGGACAGAGACCACCACTGGGAACAAGCATCACCAACTTGCATGGTTATGGAGATGGTCCGTCTGATGCTGACAATGTTCCTAGTTCTTTGACAACGGCTGAGCAACCATGGGGTCCAGTGGACTCGGGAAAGCAGCAACCTTAGACGAACTGCTGAGCACTTGCATTGAGATGTTCGGTATGATCCTTTTTTCCTCTCCATATGTCTTGTTATTATCACTCCCTTTTATTCAAAGCCAAGTGTTGCTGTAGAACAGAATTCAGTCTTCATATCTTGGTGTTATTTAAGACCTTTTTGATTGACCCAATCTGTCTCCCCAGTACCAGTGCTCTCTTCATTTCCTTCCCTTTACTGCCCACAACTAATACACTAGCTAGACTGTCCACTTAATGTTTCTGGAACATTCCCTGCATCTTTCTACCTGCATGCCTTTATCACACCCATTCACTGAACTTCTGCTTCAGGGTTCATCTCAGATGTCGTCTCCAATGTTCATAATGCCATTCCTAATCTCCCCCACCATGAATGTTCCCTCCACCCTTCCACAGTCCTTTGTAACTTTCTTATGGCACACGGTATATGCTGCTGTGATCATTTCTTGGTCTTTGGCTTAGACAAGTGTGGGTTGCACAATCTGCTGCATTCTATATTTGCATGTATGTCTTATATCTCCTACTAGGGTATAGACTTTACAGCTATCTGCTTCTGTTATTTATGTTTCCACCTCAGCATTTTGGATTATTTCTTGCACACACAGAGTTACACAGGAGTTGTGTGTTGAACTGGTTTTATAGGAAGGGTTAAACCAGAATAGGGTTGCCAGGTAGAATACAGGATGATCAGTCAAATTTGAGTTTCAGATAAACCACATTTTTAGTATAAGTGTGTCTTAAATAATGCATGGAATATACTTACACTAGAAAATTATTTGTTGTCTACCTTAATTCAAATTGAACTAAGGGTCCTGGATTTTTATTTGCTAAATTCTGGCAACCTTAATCCAGAGGAAGGGTGAAACCTACCCACTTAAGTTGCAAGAAAATACCAGCAGAAATAGGAGGAGAATGATAATAGAGTCTATGAGAAATTTTTAACACTAATGTCTCTCTACTGATATTAGAAAAAGAGAAAAGTACTGTTCCTTCCTCATCCCTCATTTTATTTTATATTTTAACAGATGACAATGGAGAGCTGAATAACAGCTGTTTGCCAAGAATAGTTCTACTGATGCACCGATGGTATTTATCTTCCACTGAACTGGCAGAAAAACTTCTCTGCATATATCTTTTCAACTACTGTGTGATTTTTACAGTCATAAATCAAGTTCTATGTTTATGCAGATAGAGTATCTAACCAAAGCCAGTAAATTGAGATGAATAAATAATCTTCCTTCAGTTATCCAACTGTTTTATAAATATATTTAGATATCTAGACAAACCATCTGGGTGATGGGCCAAATAGCTGACTATCCATCTGGATGTTTTCACTCTACTTAAAAGTAATCACTACATTAAAATGAATCAGGGGCCGCGGGCTGAGTGTCTCTAACCTGTCCTAAACATTTCTGCTGTTAGCACAATAAAAGAAGATTTAGCACCAATTCAGGGCCTAATTCATTCCTTTGAGAATGGCAAAATGGTGGGCCTGGAGGATGTGATTTAGACATTTAGAAATGCCAGCCAAAATAATATGATCTGGCTCAGGTACAAACACCACCTAAGTTTTTATATCTTCCCTTAACTGGCAAGACACAGAGAACATTCCAGCAGATTTATTATAATTTGTGGATTGATGTTAATTTTAGATTTCCTTCTGACATAAGAGAGAAAAGTTAAAAACCCCATTCTATATGGGCTTTTAGCAGTTCATCAACGTTGTACATAATGCGGTCCTAAAAGGTGGTTGAAAGCCAAATGACTGAAAATGGAAAATAGTATCACATTTGTTATGAGGCTTCATTGCCCAGCATCTAATGTTTACTATATAGTCGCTAACGTTGGCTCCTGCAGGCTCTGCCTGCTTCAAGCCCTGGGACCCCGAAGATGAGTGAGAAGCTGTACAGGGTAGGAGAGGTGGAGAGGGGCTGGGCCCATGGGGTGTCATTGGGGCCAAGTAGGGCTTCCCCCTGCTCACTTCAAGCTTCCCCTGCTTTCTACTGCTTCCCTCCACCCTCCCACAACCTCTGGACAGAAGGGGATGGCAGAGATGGCAAGGGGACAGTCACCCTGAACACAGGTCCCTGGAAGGGAGCCAGATCCTGTTTCCCAGTGGTCCCGGGGTCCCACGGGTCCCACTATTGAGGGTAGTGCACAGGGAAGGATGGATGGAACTGACTCAGTCTGGTCCCTCCTCAGGGTCCAAACACTGTCCAAAGAATGTGCCCCAAGCTGCATTCTCATCATTAGTATGTCCGCTGACAATATGAAACACAAATTAAAGTGGATATTTAGACAGGCAAGGTATAATATCTGAAAGTACAGATTGTATAATATTAAATTGCCTGTGAATTGAGGTTTCTTTAGATTCTCCTCCCTTTAGATCATTTGCTACTGCGGACCCAGGGTGCCTGGCCTATAGCAGGAGCTCAGTACCTATTTGTTGAAAAGAATAAAATAGATGAGAATAAATTGCAACACACCCTTTGTATTAATATACCAGCAAATGACTTTTTCAAATACTAAAGAAATTAGAGCACATATATAAGGCATTCATTCTAAATACAAAAAGATGTTTGGCTAAAATGGTGCCTCTTTGCACTACCAATTTTAAATTATCTCTAGCTGGTAGTGTATTTGTAATTACAGCTGACAGTCAATACTTGGTAAGTGCTCAGGAAGGTCAAAAATTTTATAAGTGGCTTCTCTTCCCGACCAAAACAGGACAGCCCAGGGCAGTCAATTATTCAGTGTGGACGTCACGAGAACCCACTCCTCTCCCCATTCACACGCCCACATAACCCAGTGTCCCCGCTATGGTCCTCTTATCGGAAATTCATCCGCACTGATCAAACAGCCTCAGGTAAAGGTGGAGGAAACCAAGTGCAAGGATTTTTCCTTTAACTAGTGTACGTATCGAAATGCCAGTGGAGAAAGCTGTGATGAATTTCGATTAAAGATCTCCTACTTCATGAGGTAAGTATACTTACACATTTAATTTTCTGGTACTTTCTGTTTCTGGAATGGTTGCCGCTTTCCTTTCCCCCAAGCAGCAGACCCGGTTTGACAGTAGAACGAGTTCAGATTCCATTTTATCAGTTTTGCTAACACGTGCTTTCCTCCGTTCCTGGGAGTAGCATTTCTCTTTCCTTGGGACTAGAGCTCTCAAGCAGTGGTCAGCGTGATTAGGGAATGAAACCAGCTGTTAGAGTAAATTCTTTTGTTCCACCTTCTCACCATACACATTCCCAGCTACATGCCATGAGTTGAAAGAAGGGTTTCCTTCCGGAGAGAGTGGGAAAGGGGCTCAGTGTGGGAGTGGACGTGGGTCCTTGACTGAAGGGAAAGAGTGAGACTCGATGTGATGGGTGGGGGATGGGAGATTGCTAACTGGGGGCAGGGTCCTGGCTTGTTTGTTAAATTTAATCTTTGAAGTGACACTATAGTTTACAGAGAGGTTCATCTTAAAATCAGGCCGTCAACACTATTTGATGCCTTTCAGGTACTGGATTCTCAAATTTCCTGCGGAGTTCAATTTGGACCTTGGGTTGATCCGTATGACTGAAGAATTCCGAGAAGTAGCTAGCCAACTAGGATACGAGAAACATGTCAGCCTCATCGACATTTCCAGCATGTAAGAGTGGCTCAAGCTTCAAACACCATGAGTCTGCTGTTTGGGGGAGGGAGTGGTGACGACCCCGCTAGACCTCCATCCATACTATGTCAGCATCAAGCGGTGCTTCTTGGAGAAAGTCTTGCTGCAGTGAGCACCATCACACATAAGTCCATCTCACCAGGCTTCAGTTTATTTGTAAAGTGAGGATAGTAGCTTTCTCACAGGGTTATCAGAGCATCCAGTAAGCACATAAGATAGCATGTGAAAGCCTTTGGCACATAACAGATGCTCAGGATATCAGTATTTACTAAAATCTAGTTCATGTTTCCTATGCCCTGTCACTCACTGTGGGCTGTGGATCGGCAGCACGGCATCACCTGGGGGCTCAGCAGAAATTCGGACTCTCGGGCCCCACCCTACGCCCGCTGAATTGGAAACTGCATTTTAATAAGATCTCCAGATGACTCATAAGCTCATTCAAGTTCAAGAAGCCCTGTCCCATGGGCATCTGAGGCCATCCTGAGGATGTATAAATGTTGATCATAGTTGTGCCATGAACTGGTTAGCTCAGTTTTTAGGAACATGGTGCTAATTAGGCTAGCATTTTATATCATCCAGTTAACTTTGCGCAGAGAAAACTATTTAATGACCCTGAGTATAAGTTTCCATCATGCAAATACATGCTCTTGTGTCCTAGGCATTCTTACTCTAGCCAATTTTTCTAGAATAGTTCTTCAGGAGTGATTAACAGTGAGTGATCCAGGAATCACTAGTGATGTAGCTAAAAGTACAGATTATTCAGGTTCATTCCCAGTAAATCAGAATCACTAGAAGTGAGGTCTAGGCCTCTGTATTTATAACAGAATTTTCAGATTATCCATTTCTTGCTGAAGTAGGAGAACCACCAGTTTCTAGTGGTTCCCATGTACCTTAAATCACTATCTATACATTGATAAACTCTCAAGTTTATATACCTATCCCTGACCTCTTCCTTATGACCCAAATCTTACTGGCCACAAGAATGACCAAGTAAGGGATTCTAAATGGACCAGTGCAAACCCACCCTGTCTGGAAAAACAACCTGAAGTTTATGTTCTATTGGCGATGGGTCAGTGGTTTTCTCTTCAAATATGCAGGACAGGGCGTATATTTAGCGCAAGCCCCTGGAGGCAGGCCAAGAGTTACAAAGTCAGTAGGTTAATAACTTGCATTGAGTGAAACGAGCTTTCGGCAAACTGACCAGACTCCCTGTTCGTTTATAGACCTTCCTATGATTGGATGAGAAGAGTCACACAGAGGAAAAAAGTATCCAAGAAGGGAAAAGCCTGTCTGCTGTTTGACCATCTGGAGCCCATTGAATTGGCTGAGCACCTCACTTTTCTGGAGCATAAATCTTTCAGAAGGATCTCAGTAAGAAATTTGACATTTATTCTTCCAAGGATAACAACCACCACGCCAACTTTCCCAAGAGCCGCGTTTTCATGCTCTAAAGTGTTGGCAGCCTCTGTCACTGTGCTCCATTGGAAAAGTGCCCTTAATTCACGGGACAATCCCTTTCAACCAAAAATAAATATTATCCTGTCTTTATAGTATGGCTCAGGAGCTACATTTCTGTTGCTATATTTTCAATGGCCCCTTTCATAGGATTAAAGCATGATTTTCTGAATACGCAGTGGAGATTTAACCATTCAAGGTTTATTTAGCTCCGTTGACCTCTCCCAAGTGAACATGTTTTGCTAGGTGCTTTGTTTGGGGGGGAAGAAACATTTATTTAGGCTGGGATGTGTATAAATGCCTACTTATGGGTGGAGGTTGAAAATAGGAATTGCAGGCTTTCAGGGGAATCTCAACATTAGCATGTTTGTTCCCAGGGATGGAGAATCTGAGTTAAATTTTCTTTCCTATTGTGTCTCGATAGCATTCCTTCTCCAATCCCTCTTCTTCCTTCTGACTGTGCTCCCTTACTCGCTACCTACTCACCACCCACTTGTGATGACCATCTTTCCACAATGGTCCACAAGCAGCCTTTGCCTTTCGCTCTCCAAGAGCTGGGGCTGTCACTGCTCCTTCTTTTCCAAGATGCCAGGGAATGGATTACATTATTCCTCGCAAAGAAGAACCTGAGGTTCTCAAAGACGGATTCTTTTCACTAAGTAATCCTACTTGGGGGGCCCTTACTGACTCCCCACAGCAGGCGATAAGATGGAAGCTCATTAAGTATTTGATGACATCTGTGCTGACTTCCTGAAGGTGTATCTGTTTACTAAAGAGCTGTCTCACTTCAATGACTATTTTTTAAAACAACTTGATAAATGTGGAATCATTATATTCATACTCATTTCCTTTTTAATGTATGCCATTGTATCTGAAACTTGCCTCACCATTGGAATCACCAGTCGTGGTTCTTCCTCTGGAGATACTGACTGACCCTTTAGGTCTGGGGTCTTCCCAGAAACCACCATTTCGCCAATGCCCTAGGTGGATATTGTCATCCAGCAACTTAGGGTTCAGTGGAATGTGTCTTGGAGTCTTACCCCTTCCTCGCCCCACCAACACTGCCTTGTGTAATAAGTGTGTCTGTGTTGAGGAGTAAAATGCAGCAAAAGAACATGCTAGAGGTACATTTAAACTTATAAGATGCCATTAAAATATGAAATGAAGAAATTGTTATGCTGCGATAAAACAATATCTCACCTCTTTCGTGCAACATTCTGATTTCTGATTTTGCAATTGCTTCATTATAATTCAGACTCTCTGAACCTTCTTTCACTAGTTCACCGATTACCAAAGCTATGTCATCCATGGCTGCCTGGAGAATAACCCAACCTTGGAGAGATCTATTGCTTTATTCAATGGAATCTCTAAGTGGGTCCAGTTGATGGTTCTTAGCAAACCAACCCCCCAGCAAAGGGCAGAAGTCATCACAAAGTTTATCAATGTCGCCAAGGTATGTATTAGACCGGAGTTCTTCAACTTTTTTTTAGATATTCACTCCCTCCACTGAAAAAGGTCATTGAGGAAATTTGTGGTTCATAATATAAAGGACAATTAAACTACTCATAAATGTCTAATGCACAAATACTTCTCTCATGCAAGAAGATTGCTTTTAGTTGGCATACCTAAAAGCACTTAATGTAGCTATTTTTTTGTGAAATGATTGATATGTTTTTCTAGTTGATTTTATTTGCATTTCACTTAAACTGATATTATTTTTCCTAGGTCCTCCTTGTTATTAAATTGCATATACATTTAGTACTTTCAGAAAGCTCAGAATAATTCAAAAATTGTTACAAAGTATTGATGTTAACATTTTTTTTTATTGTAGAAGCTCCTTCAGCTCAAAAATTTTAACACCCTGATGGCAGTGGTGGGGGGCCTCAGTCACAGTTCCATTTCGCGCCTCAAAGAGACCCATTCTCACCTTTCTTCAGAAGTTACAAAGGTACAGTGGATCTGATCGTAATCCCAAGTAAAAAGTTCCCTTGTAAACTGTTTCAGGGTAGGATGCGCTTCACAAGTGTCACTCAGAGGGGAAGCTGTCTTCTGAGATGATGGGAGCTTACACGTGGTGGGCAGAGTAGGAAGGGAGTAGACACGCCCCCGGAAAACGGGTTGGAGGTGGTAACAAGGGTCCTAGTAGGAACCCCTCCATCACCAGTGCAGAGTGTAGTTGTAAATGCTCAACAAGTGTGTCTTTGGTGCTTCCTGTGTGATAGGCACTGTGATATGCACAGGGTATAAGGCAAATGAGACAGAAGTCTCTCCTATCCTTCCTCCCTCCGATGGAGTCATGGAACGCCTGCTCTATTTACGGTACTGTGGTCAACTCCGCAGGAGGTGCAAGGGAAGGGGCCTCGTATAGATCTTCTGTAGATTTATCGCTGATTGGTCAAGAATAAAAGTATTTAAATATTTAAATGATCATTTCCCAAATCAAACTTTCTGTCATGTTTATTTCCAGGCCATTATAATAATATTTTTCCATACTGAACAAAAAGCAGCATTTCATCCTTATGAAAAGATTTTCTAGTAAGAGTATACTCTGCTGTATCAGTAAGGACAATTTCAGCTGTTTTTTAAGACTCTTGAAATTGCTTAAACAATAAGGAAATGGATCATCTTCCACATACCTGGAAGTCCAGAGGCAGGGCTGCTTCAGGCATGGTCTGATCAGAGCTCTGCCTCAGTTGCTCTGCCTTCCTCTGGGTATCGGTTTTTGTTTTGTTTCATCAGACTGGTTTCCCTCTTGATTGGGCTACCTGCAGAAAAGTATGCTTTCTTTTTCATGAAAGGTAGGGACAGAGAAAACTCTCCTCAACCCTCTCCCTATAGAATTAAAGACCTTTTTTTTTTTAAAGACAGACTGGACCATCTCAAGTAACATGCCCACTCCTGGATCAGTAACAGTTGCCAGAGGAATACAATGTACTGATTGGCTTAACTCTGTGTTTCTGAACCAATCACAAACCAGAGGGCTGGAATTATGATGATGGGAATCAGAACTCACTCTTGGACCTAGAGATGGAAACAGCTCCATCTCAGTTATATGGGCTGCTTCGGGAAAGAGTAGACTGATCAAAATTAGGGTCTATTTGGAAGGTCTGGTTGCTGTTAGACAACCAACAATAACTTGTCCATATAAACAGGAGGATGTAAACCACAGAAGCATTGCTGTCCGACCTCAAACACTGCACTCATTCCAAGTATGATGGGGCTCAGTATGGGTCTCATTTTCCTTTAGCTTTGTACTGAATTTCAAGTAAAGAGCAAGACACATTTTAAATTGTTGAGAATAATATGAATTCAACAGAGGCTCAAAGAGGCTTGGAACCACCCGTGTGTCTTAAAAAATTACTGATTTGAACTCCTCTTTCTGACAGAAAAGGAAACTGAGGCCCTAAAAAGTGAAGTGAGTTACTCAAGTTCACCCTTCTAGTTAGTGGCAGAGTTCAAAAGCACAGCTATCTCAACCCCTCCGTGTGACTTTTCCTACCCCATTGTGTCCCAGATTAACCTTCAAGAAATACCTCAAATGCAACTCTCTTGGAATAACTAGGATGTTTTAATACACTGCATACTTAAATATTATACAATATATGCTTGTATTTGTGTGCTGTAACAGTTTCATTAATTGCAGAATACTTAAATACACATGATATTTAAATCCCAACATCCCTATTAGTTAGGCAGAGGGGTGGGCTATTTGCGAGTTGTACCCGAATGGAACAGGCTGTCCAACTCGTAGCCAGGCCTACTACATGTTTCTTTCTTTTTCCTGTTTAAAATTTCCTTGCAACAACATTAGTGCAATTGATACTTCTCTCAGTAGCCGAGGAATTTCCTAGACACACACACGGCAGGCTTGGGGGGTGGGCAGATGGGAAGGCCATCTGAAAATTCTTCTTTTTCATCTGTTCCCAGAACTGGAATGAAATGACAGAGCTCGTCTCCTCCAATGGCAATTACTGCAATTACCGCAAGGCCTTTGCCGACTGCGATGGCTTCAAAATCCCCATCCTTGGCGTGCACTTGAAAGACTTGATAGCGGTCCATGTCATTTTCCCAGACTGGACGGAGGAGAACAAAGTGAACATTGTGAAAATGCACCAGCTCTCCGTCACCCTGAGTGAACTGGTCTCCCTGCAGAACGCCTCCCACCACTTAGAGCCCAACATGGACTTGATCAACCTGCTCACGGTGAGTCCCAAGGACTGGGGTTTGTGCTGATGACTCTTCTGCACCTTGCGTCCCAGGGGATGCAGGAGGATCTGTACCTGCAGTTCCCGGGGTGGGGGGGGGGGTAGGGAGGAGGTTGCATTCGGGGTCAGCAGGAGAGGAGAAATCTCAAAGGCTGCGGGGAGGGGACCCCATACCCAGAACCACGTGACTTAAGACTTTAATGTTAGAACAAACAAATCTCCCTTTGCTTTGAGGAGCCCAGTTTCCACCCCTGCAGCTCCAGTGTCTAGAGTTCTTAGATAGGCCCTCTAGAGCTGTCTTTAGTCCCTTACTCTCCTTCATCACACTCAAGTAATTAATCACCTCCTCTGTATGTCCTCAACTCATCTGCTTCTCTTCATCCTCACTGCACGGCTGTTGTGGAGGCCTGGAGTGATGCAAGGGCCTCCTTTGTGGTCTACCCCTCCCTGCCAGCCTCTCCACACCCCGAGATGCAGTGCCCAGCCTGGCACAGGAGGCCTTTCACGACTTCCTTTCTGACCCTCCGGCTGGCCTTGCTGGTCATCGCCCGGTCCCACACCACAGCTGCCTTTGAGGATCAGTGGCCTTCTTCTACTTTCCACCACAAACTGCTGCCTTCTGCTTCCTGGTCCTGCACTTTCTTGGAAAACCTCCTCCCTCCCCAGCCCTGTGACTAGCCCCAATTGAAAAGTTTCTATCTTTCTGGAGCATTCTCTGTCCCTCCCCTCCCCAAAGCACTAAGTGCATCTGTCGCATGTGTTGCCTTTGCACTCTGTGCTTTCTTACTGTAGGAAGAGTCACTGGGCAAGAGATTTTTTTCTGTTACCTGACTTACACATCACACGCCCCAGAACCTCTCACAAGACGTGGCCTATTTAGGAGCTCAACAGGTGAATTAAATGTTATATTTAGGAATGAAGGAGGTCAGACAAAAGTTTACTTACTATTCATATTTTGGGGCACTTGTGACACACACCTTTAGCTGGTATCCAGATCCCAGCACCTTTAGACACAACAGGTGTGTAGAAGAGAACTTGTCCCATTGGCTACCTCTTGGTCAGGGGGACGAAGCAGAACCAGATTGTCTCTCCCTCGCTTAACAAGTGGAGAAACAGCTTCCCTGTTTAGGTTTATAGCATCGGAAACTTGGCTGCAACACTGAATTGACTCTTTTCCTTTAATGACCATGGCAAATAAAAGCAGCACCTTTTCTGAAACTCTTGGAGCCCAACTCCCCCAGGACCGTCACCCTGGAATTGAATGTGGTTCCTAGACCTTCTCATTAACTGACTGTTCCTAGAGCACATAATTGTTTACCAAAGGAGAGAAACCCTAAGTGTACAAAACGATGCCATCTGCACCCTTAGTATAAAGCAGAAGTGGCCAACACACAGAAACACAAATCTCTTGGGGTTGAGTTTATGTGACAAACAATAAAAACACAGACATTCTCTATTGGGGGTGGGGGGGGACCTCACAATAATCCAGGCACCTGTATTCATTAATCATTTGCCATGTAAATCTGTTTCCATGAATAAGTGCCCAGACTGGCTGCTTGAAAGAGACTGTAAACCCGCAAACACAGGTGATGTCTGCAGAGCAGCCCAGTTTCACATGCCCACGACCAGGCCGTCTTCATGGTGTGGAGGAGGAGGGCACAGAGCAGAGGACAACACAAGACAATGCCTCACCCTGACAACAGATAGTGATGGGGCAGGGAAATTATGTCTGAGTTAAAAGTGCAGCAAGCAACATCACGACAGGTCTTTATAAAGAGAAATATTGAAGGGTGTGTGAGTGAAACTTTTGGAATGCAAATCGAAAATCCGAACTGTAGCAATAAAAGCTAAGAAAGAACTCTTTTTGCTGGGAAGAAAAGAAAAAAGGAAAAGGTGCCAGCTCTTTCTCTCTGTCTCATGTGGAAGGGAAATCTAGACGCCACCACACACCATAGTTAGTAATGACCGTATTACATAGCATCAGGTAGCGTCAAGCTCCTGCCTAGATGGAAGATCTAGCTTTGAGCCCCGCCTCCACAATTACGAATTTTGTCTCCTTTTTAACAAGCCTTGACTTTGGATTTTTCCAAAAGGATTTTGGGCTCGTGTGTGAGGTCTCTTCCAGCTCTAAACTTCTAGGACTCTAGGTGTGAGGAATGGTAGAATCTTGGGAATAGGGAACCAAGTGTCAATGTGCTTCTGTGATTGCAGCCCGGAGACCCATTAGGACAGCACGGTCCCTCACATGAACACAGGTCATCAGGCCAGTTTCTATTGAAAGCCAAGATGCTTCCTCTCTCTTCACAACCAAGGAGAAAGTTCAGTGCACTGGGATTTCCATTCATTCCTCCTGGCCACAGGCAGGTGAACCTCCCCAGAATGAGGATCGAGGATATTCCCGTGAAGTATCTGCTAGAGCCCAGTGGGCATTTCACGACACACCTACCTGTTGGGACTGAAACTGTAGGATTCACTGCAGTGACCCAAATGCATGTGAGGGTGTCTGTAAGGCCATCATTTAAAGGGCAATTCATTTTGTCCGTAGACTAGATTAAGTTTCTGCCTGAGGTGACCCGTTTGCATGGCCGACATATGATTGACAGCCCTGGAAGATAGAAAATGAAAAGACCTGAACTATTCAACAATTACCAAATGCCTACTCTGTGCACTAGGCTGCATAGTGTTGCATGAACTTACTGTAATGATTGATTACAGTTCTCACAGCACTCTTCATGTACATTTTCTTGGTAGACTCTCACAGGCACCCTGTGATGTAGCGCCCGGGCCAGGTGGAGAGTGTAACATCACCCCTGACCCTTCCTATTTTACAAATGAAGAAGCAGATTTATAAAGGACAAAAGGCTTGCAAATGGCAAAATTCTAAACTCCAGCTTGGGTTGGTCTCTCTCTCTCTCTCTTTCAGACATGTGTTCTGTAATGTGGCAATACTGTTGGCATTTATTTTATTTTGCACCTGTAGAAATTAAGTCATCTTTCTCTCCTTCTTCATGGGTATATGAAGGAGGACTTGGTTGCAGAGCACAAGCTGTGAGGGCAGGGGCTGTGTGTGCCGGTTTTGTCACCATCACTTTGGCCCCTGACTGGCCCTGCACACACGCAGGGAGGATGCAATGTCAATGACCCGTCGTGGTTCAGATCGTTCTCTTCGGGAAAGATCTGGAGAAGAAAATTTTTTTTTATTGTGATCCCAAGTCACATACCAGGAGCTTTGAAAGCTCCTTGTTTCATGCATACAAAATGATCTGATTCTTTTCATAATATTTTTAGATCTATCAGTTACTTTTACCACTTTGGGTATATGCAAATAACTGGAAAGCCCCTGTATTTTTTTACAGTCTCATAAGAAAAATAGAAGAATAACTGCAAAAATGGTGAGTGGAGATAGTGTGATGACTGAGTGTGTTTTATGTTCCAGCTCCCCACTCCAGGCCACGCAGGTCGTACTGTCCGCACAGAATCCACGGCCATCTTTGCCAGTAGGCTTGGATGTAAATGCGGCAACCTGGAACAGGGACTGAGAACATTTTTCAGAAACAACCAAACTGAAAGATGTTAGACATCAGCAAATATTCTTGAAATCCCATTGACGAGCTGCCTGTATTACAAAAAGCGGATAGGAAGTCGGACAGGTCATTTTGTACAGGGCTGTAAAGCCCAGAGGAGATTGCAAAGAGCAAGTGGGATCGCAGCTGGGAAAGCAGAGCATGGACGGGGGTGGGGAGGACCCAGAGGGCAGCCCCCTGTTCATTAATGAGCCCGGTGATGTTGGCTGCTGCACTGACTAGAAAGCAAACCCTGCTGTCCTCATCGTGTGACCCTCTAAACAAACCCCACTGGGCACACATTAGCTCATTCAATCCTCGCCACAGTCTGGGGAGGGAGCTTTTATTTGTAAGTCCAATTTTATACATCAGGAGACTCAAGCAAGTTGACAACTTGCCCAGGTTCCCAGCACCACTGATAATGGAGAGCGAACATTGAGAGGAGATAAAAACGTTTCCATCATAAGCTCAAATATCTGCCCATTTCACACAGGAGCATGCACGAGGGTGTCCTTTGACTTTTCCTGTGACCTCCCCTCCTTAGTGTGTGGCTTACTTGAACTTCTGGTTGGACGTCTGGTGCTGCTGTCAACTCCGGGAGATGCCAGCGCCAGTCCTGTTTACAGGCTGCGCCAGGAGGACAGGAACGTGCTCATCGAAGTCCAGATTAACTCTTCTAAAAAATAGTTTATTGTATTTATTTTTTTAAATTACAGTTTACATTCAATATTATGTTTTATTAGTTTCAGGTGTACAGCATAGTGTTTAAATAGTCGTATACTTTACAAAGTGTTCTCCCTGATATTTCCAGTACCCAGCAGGCACCATACATAGTCATTGCAATGTTATTGAGTATGTAACTCTCAACGACAAGGAATTCAGAAGGAAGGTGTTTTCCTTCCACGTATGGAGCATTTGCAGTGGAAGGCAGCACGCTGCGACAGAGATGCCGGAGGTGGAGGAGCTAGGTGCACTGCCCGCTTCCACCAGGCGTGGGGACTAGCAGGGCCTCCTTGTGTGGGACTGACCAACTGGTGAGCACCTGCCCCCAGCGGATGTGTTGTGCTGGTCTCACAAGGAATTATAAATTTCTTTGTGATTAGTGCCAGTGTTCAAAAATTGGGTAGTCATATAAAATTCCAGGGTTTTGACTTCTTTTAGTGAGAAGGTGACAATGGTCGCATGGACAACAGTTTGCCCAAGCTCCATCGTGGTAGGGCCCCCCATTCATTCGAGACCACACCGTTGCCTATTGCTTCCCTGTCCCAGAGACCCATGGTCAGATTCCACTCATGAACACAAATGTTCCTTGTTGTCTGCCTGACGAGGACTGCCCCCCAAGTCAATTACATTGGCAAAGACCTGGTTTTCAAATAAGACATTGTTAGGTCAATATCACTATCAAAATATCCCTTTTGGGATCACCCAAGTTGATTCATGGAATTTCCTGGGTTATTAAAGATTGTTGGCCCATCCTGTGCAATGTATCTAAACTGAATTATAGTACCAGATAACATTACAGGTGGGAATGAGGCTTGTGGGTCATCCACTATCATGTGTAATTGGTAAACTATTTAATGTCCTCTTGAAAAAAAATCTCTTTCAGGAATCCCACTTCACTCTTTTATATAATGGCTGGTTTCTTTAGGCATTAGTTTGTGACAGGGGATGGTTCCCTCTGCAAAAAGGCAAAGCCCCTAGAGGTAAGAGTGGCTGCTGTTCAGGCGAAGGTGGATACAGGGCACGTTCTTTGTGAGCAGGACTTTCGTGATCAGAAATAATGCTGGGGCAATTCTATAGTAAAGTCATTTTTTTCTTATGTTCAGAAAAAACCTTTAAGTTACAAAGTCTAGATAAAGCAATACATGACATGATGTATGAATTTTTAAAAAAGATTTTATTTATTTATAGACAGAGGGAAAGGGAGGGAGAAAGAGAGGGAGAGAAATATTGATTGGTTGCCTCTCTCAAACCCCCAGCTGGGGACCTGGCCTGCAACCTAGGCATGTGCCCTGACTGGGAATTGAACCAGCAACCTTTTTTGGTTCCTGGGATGGCACCCAACCCACTGAATCACACCAGTCATGGCTGATATATGAAATTCTTCATTTAAATGTTGTATTTAGTAGCTAGAACAGTGACTAGAATGGTCCCTGGCACATATTAAGTGATTAAGAAATATTTGTTGACTGAATGAATGATTAAAAATGACAGTTTATAATGTCAAATTATTTTTTAATTGAACTAGAACAAGATAAATCCTTGAAAGACATTTTTTGATTCTGAATTTCTTCTTGCTTCTTCCTCCTTTTTCTCCCCATCACTCCACATGCATAGACATGAAGCTGTTATCTTTAGACATAATATGTTGGAGGAAATTTTCTATGCCTCAATGCTCGAAGAAAGGACGGGCATTTGATTATCTTCAATGTTGATGAAATGGTGTGATTCGTCATGTATGTTAACATTGAAGGGCATGGGTGAGAATTTTCCAGGCTTATTGTAAGAGTCATGACTCTCCTGTTTCAGGTGAATGGGACCATGTGTTTTAGGTTTTCTAGGTGTTATTCATTGTTGTCCTTGCCTACCCTGATCTTTCCCTCCCTCTTTCTGCGTCCAAGTCTGCCCAGTAGGCCTCAATTAAGAAGTTGCTGTGTGAATCAGTCCTGACCATTTCCGTCTTCAGTGATCACCACGCATAATAATAATATTAGCTATAATAGGTGTATTAATAGCAATAACATCAATAATACTAAATTACATTTCTTAGATTCTACCATGTCCCCAGGTCCTATGTGAAGTACTTTACATGCATTATTCCATTTGATCCTGATAAAAATCCAGTTCAGTAGGGACTTTTATGATGGTGCCCATTTTACAGATGTGGAAGGCGATTGTCCGAAGAAAATAGTTGACTCAAGGTCACAGAGCTAACTGGTGGCAGGCTCAGCATTTGAACTTGGACCTCCCCAACTGCAATCCCCTCCCTCATGCTTCACTCTACCTTCCTGAATGATTTGTATAGCACTTAGGGTGGGGCACCTTATTTCACATTTAGCTTGGGTTACCTTTTGTTGATTTGAACATATCTTTTTGTGTTCAGGTCCTATTTATTCCAGAAAACTGTCAGGCCCTTGAGGGTAGGAATGACTTTATACGTTTTTATATCACCAGGACTTAGCACAATGCCCTAAAATAATAGAAACCTAGTAATTTCTCCAGTTCTTCAATCAAACCTCTAAGAAACAATTTATTACACTTACGGGTCTTAATCCATGCATCCGCTCCTGCTTTTTAATATCAAGGATGCCTTATCTCTAGCTCAGTGCTTAGTACTTAGAAGCCGCTGGACAAGTATTATTGGGGAATTGAGTCAGGGGTTCTTGTTGATGCTGGTGACCCCAGGAGACTTAACTTTTTATCTCTTTAATTTCATTTTCCACCCCTGCATGCCATCTTTGTACCATTCTGCATTCAGTCAGATTATTAGACATTGGCTAAAATATTCCATTTGGAAAATATGTCAGCAATTCAGGTAAGTAAATAAATATGAGCCAACATAATTATTGATCCATTCTAATTTGTCGTAGCTTTCCCTGGACCTCTATCACACAGAAGATGATATTTATAAGCTGTCACTGGTGCTGGAGCCTAGAAACTCTAAATCGGTAGGTATTGCTTTCTCTCCCAGGATCAGCCCCAAATCCTGCCGTTCATCATTTACAGTAATCGGCTGTTGCAGTGGTGCTTTATGATCTAAAGACTGAAGAATTTACAGATCTATATTATTCCCTTTTTAGCAACGAAACACCTCAGCCCTGGCAGTTAGAGCATTATTTCTTTACATAGACTAATAGGGAAGAACATCATTTGCAATTACTGTATTTTACTGTTGCTTTTCTGTGGGTTGTGTTGTCTCTGAAAACTCACCTACATATAGGACCAAAAGAAAAACATAACTCATCTTCACATTAGAGATCATCCAGGGGTGTCCAAACTTCTGGTGTCTCTGGGCCACACTGGAAGAAGAAGAGTTGTCTTGGGCCATGCATTAAATACATTGTGACATGTAATCACAAGAAAGAAATCTCAGAATGTTTTCAGTGAATGTACGATTTTGTGTTGGGCCACACTCACAGCCATCCCGGGCTGCCTGCGGCCCATGGGGCACAGGTTGGACACCCCTGGCCTTTCCAGCCTTTTAAAAAAATACCATTCAACATAAAATTAGATTTAATAAATTCTAAATACCCTGATTATAATTCACAAATTTCTCTACTAATGATTGACTCAGCTAGGAGTTTTAATATTACATGAGATAGTGTCTCACTTAATTGATGGCTGACTCTTCATTAAAGAAACATGATCTAATGAGACTGAGGAAAATGCATTACCGAATATGCATTACTCATCAGTTTTAGCAAGTGGACTATATCTTAGGTATATTTTGCAGTAATAAAAAAAGAGCCTGCATCAATTTGAAATTTGCAATGAGGATGAGGTGTGCATGTTAAAGGAAAAAGTGTCTATGTTTGCTTCTTATGCTCATATCCTGAGATCAGTTTTCTTCATAAAGGTCTCATGCTTCTCTCCACACCAGCTGAGCTCTGGGGCACATTGCCAGCTACTCTAGACCCTAAGTCTGTCCATCTGTTAACACCTACTGTGACTCTGCACCATGAGACAGCAAGAGGCAGAATGACTCTGAGTGCTGTTCTCTGGCACTGGGAGGGCAGGAACACGAGTCTGAGTCAGCTGACCTGGTAGCATCTGTTCTTAAAATAGTGAGTGTGGTGGTTCCATCAGCAAGTTCATCTCCTGCCAGTCCTCAGAGGCTGATCTCCTGGGAAGAACAGAGTGGTGTGGGAACATAGAGCAGAGACAAAGGGAGGAGTGGAGACCCAGGCTCTTCCAAGTTATCATGACTAAGAGAGAGCTGGAGAGAAAGGCAAAGCTATTGGAGGGAAAAGAAAAGGAATTTGTAAGCTCTGCCCTCGTTGGAGAGCTTTGATGAGGTGAAACTGGCCGTGGCATGGTTGGCTGTCTTGCACATGCGCACAGGGCATTTCCACATCCGACACCTTCCTTCACTTGTAACTAGGTACCTTCATTGCTATCTGTTAGTTGTTGCATGCCTGGCAGGGCATCATTATGTTATCTCATTAGCTCTGTTAAGGAAACTGAGTCTGGTGGACGTAGGTCTCCAGGAAGTGGGAGAACTGGGATTTGGCCTTGAGCCTGTCAGCAATGCCTGTGTGTTGTCTACTGCAGGGCATTGCCCCTCACTGACCCAACACCCTTGTGGGAGCAGGGTCAGCTCAACCGTTTTAGCACACTTGCCTGATCTGTACTCTTTAGATTTAGTTAAGCTTATTTTCAGGATAAGATTTTCCCAATTTGGGAAGATTGGCAGAAACACAGAAAAGTCATCTTACTTTTTCATAAAAAGACAAACTTTGAAAGCCCCTCCCAAGTGCTAAAACCTCATGAGTCTCTGAAACACATCCTGCAGTCCCTTTCTGTCTCTTGTCTTAGCGGATGCCATGTGATTTTGTGCTCAGTGTCTGATGCGTGTGCATCGCTGGAGAGCGAGCTGCAGTCAGGATTACATTCCTGTGGGCCGGTGGCTTCAGTGTGCTTACCTTTGGTGCTGGCCGACCTAACCCGAACAGTCAGTCTCACTAGGAACTTCTTCATACGTGTTCACAGTGGTCCCTTCGTGCCTCACTAGTTCTTTATGTTTTACTTTCTGTCTCAGATTTTTTCACATGACCTGTAGCTCAAACAAAATGCTCAATAGTCTCTTACAAAATAGTTTAAGTCCAAACAACCTCATAAATATTTATGTTCTAACCACTTAGTACCCAACTGAAAAAAAAAATAATACACATATGTTGAAATAAAAATATTCTCTATTTCATTATTAAATAACCACAGTTACTTACTAATGAATGTGTGTACTTATTAGGCACTGGACAATTTCTTTTTTTTTTTAAGATTTTATTATTTATTTTCAGAGAGACGGGAAGGGAAAGAAAAGAGAGAGAGAAACACTGATGTGTGAGAGAAACATGAATCGGTTGCCTCTTGTACTCCCCCAGCTGGGGACCTGGCTCACAACCCAGGCATGTGCCCTGACAGGGATCAAACTGGCAACCCTTCGGCTCACATTCTGGCATTTAGTCCACTGAAACACACCAGCCAGGGCAGCACTGGACAATTTCTTAAATATTTGAATTGGATCGGATACTGTCAACCTTATTTCTTGTTCCTCGTTAAATTTTTGCTTCAGAAATATATGATGTCATTAAAAGAAATGTAGCACTATCTAATGGGTGACCGGTGAGCTACTTCAAGCTGGTAGTTTATGTGGGCCTGACAAATATTGGGTGTCACTGTACTTCCCTTGGAAGTCTGAAGTATTTTTTGGTACCCCTCTAAGTTCTCTAAGGTACTCCGGGCAGGGTACCTTGCTGAACATTTTGGGAACCATAGGTTTATCCTTCATCAGATGTGGAGGATCCTGGGCCAGCAGTATCCATCCCTGCTGCGGATGCTCGTCGAAACACGAGAAAAACATACACAGGGACAACTGAGTCCTGTGGGGAAATAGGGATGAAACGGCCACTCTCTCTAGTGGAGAGCGCCTTGTCCACCCTCTCTAGTGGACAAAACCTGTTCTACCGCCAGAGCAGGTTTTTATTAAGAATACCGATACAGTTTGCAAATTACAAGTAGTTAGCTTTGAGAGGTGCTGGCAGATCTCCTGCTGGGATACTAAGCCAGAGATTTTGGGGTTTTATCATTTAAAAAGAGTACAGAACTTAAAAACTTAGTTTCGTTTCCTGCCTGTGCCTTCATATTCTAATTAAAGAGCATCCTCCAGCAAGCAGATCTCATAGGATCTTGCATATTCTATGTCTCAGGCCCGATTACCCCCGGGGTCCACCAACTCTGGTCTGGACTTCACCCCTGTTATTTCCGCAGGCCTGAGTTGGGCAGAGGAGACAAAGGCAGCCGGAAGACTTGGATTTCTCAAGGACTCAGGCTCTGACAAAGCCGAGGGGGCAGGGGTTGATGTCGATCACCCCTTCATTTCCACAGCCCGCTGAGTCTCTTCCCTTAGGGAATTCCCACGTGATCGCATCTGTCTTCGATTCATTCTCTTTCCTAGAGAATTGTTACCCATCATTGACTGCCGATCATGCACAGGGACCTAGGCATTAGAACAGGCAGCGTTCATGCCAGGGAAATAAGTTTTTGTTTCCTTAGTGTCTCCTGGTTCAGAGGCCTCTTACTCAGCCATAGTCACAGGCGGTTACAGATTCCTGAGACCAGGCAGGGTGGACCTCAACAATCAAATCAGCAAAATGGAAATTATTAAAAAAAAAACTTTTTTGGATATTTTATTGATTATGCTATTACTGGTGTCCAATTTCTCCTTTCCCTTTATCCCCCCTCCACCCTGCACCCCACCCACCCACCAGCATTCCCCCACCTTAGTTCATGTCCATCGGTTGTACATATAAGTTCTTTGGCTTCTCCATTTCCTACACTATTCTTAATGTCCCCGTCTATTTTATGCCTACCAATCATGCTTCTTATTTCCTGATAACCCGCCACGTGATCTCCATTTCTCTGATTCTGTTCCTAAGCAAATTTAGTTATTTGCTTAGTGTTTGTTTTTGTTTTTTTAGGTTCAGTTGTTGATAGTTGTAAGTTTGTTGTCATTTTACTATTCATAGTTTTTCATCTTCTTCTATTTCTTAGATAAGTCCCTTTAACATTTCATGTAATTAGTGCTTGGTAATGATGAACTCCTTTAACTTGACCTCATCTGGGAAGCATTTTATCTGCCCTTCCAACAAAATGGAAATCTTGATAGAAAGCGCCATAATGTGTGCAGGTGTTTGTGAAAGTGACCCTTCACAGGTGGCAGATAATTTTTGGTCCTTTTGGATGCCAGCAACACCCACCTCACAAAATTCTTAAGGCCTTAAATTAGTACAGTCACTCCTCAATTCCTCTTGCAAAAATGTTATTCCTAATTTAGTATCAAACAAAGAAAAAACACCTGTTGATAAAAGTTTGTGTGTGTACACCAGCCAAAATATTTACATGATGCGGGGCCCCAGGGAGCAGATGAAAGGTAAACAGCACTCTTGGCTGCTCTCCTGACCGGGTTGTGTTTCTCACTTGTGTTGTGTTATGCTTTATCACCAGCATCTTCATGTTAGTAAGTGAAAATGTCTTGCAAGAAGGTGGAAAAACCTGTGTAGAAAGCAATTTCACCGAACAGGGCTAGAGAGACCTAATAATTAGACAGTGAGAAGTGATTAAGTGTATCCAGAGAGATGCCAATATAAGGACATAAAGTTGGTGGAACACTGGTACCCATTTACTGCACACACCTACTAATTTATCACTAATGCCAAATATTAAAGAATGAGGTAACTGGTGTTCTATATATTTTGTATTAAACAAAAGTCTGTATGGATTGTTATGTAGGGGTTTAAGGATGTTTTAGTAATATTTGGGGAACTTGGATAGAATTTTTGTATGGGCTGGAAGAGCAATTATTATTTTTTCTTCTTTTTTATAATTTGTAGTTTTAATTTTTTTAAAGATTTTATTTATTTATCTTTAAAGGGGAAGGGAAGGAGAGAGGGAGAGAAACATCAATGTATGGCTGCCTCTCATGCGCCTCCTGCTGGGAACTGGCCTGCAACCCAGGCATGTGCCCTGACTGGGAATCAAACCTCGACCCTTTGGTTCGCCAGCCCACGCTCAATCCACTGAGCTATACCAGCCAGGGCTTATTTTTTTTCCATTTAAAATAACAGAATCTAGTTTGCTGCTAAAAAAGTACACTATTCCAACATGTATTTAGTTACAGATTAGATTCCATTGACAAAAGGTGCTTGTTTTCAAAACACTGGAGTGCTACCTATATGTGCATTTTTACTGAGATCATTAATATGCAAAATGACTATCTTGGTGTTCCTGGTCCTAATTGTTCAAGGTTGCAGATAAAGTTGAAAACTGTGTGTGCTTTCTGTCAGCAGCCTACCTCCCCCACAACGCCCACCAAGCCCGTGGTGCCCCTGGAGTGGGCTTCGGGAGTGATGCCAAAGCCAGACCCCACGGTCATCAACAAGCACATAAGGAAATTAGTTGAGGTAAGTGGTTGCAGGAGCATTAAGAGTGAGCACTATAAGGCCCCTTTCTCTTTCCAGAATATTCTTTGGTTGCCCAGGAATCAGATGGAGTCCATGAAAACAGCCCTTGGCAGGTAGCAATTTAGCAGACACTTAGCTCTACTGGGCATCAGCCTCTGGGGCAGAACATCCAAAAAAGGCCCCCTTTCTCTGTCTGTCCTCACTTGCCCAAATACTCTCAGTGACTTTTTTAAAAAAGATTTTTTTTTAATTTATTTTTAGAGAGAGGAGAAGGGAGGGAGAAAGGGAGGGAGAGAAACATCAGTGTGTGGTTACCTCTCAGGCGCCCCCTGCTGGGGACCTGGCTGGCAACCCAGGCATGTGCCCTGACTAGGAATGGAACCAGTGACCCTTTGGTTCTCCAGCCTGCACTCAATCCACTGGGCAGCACCAGCCAGGGCGCTACTTTTAATTCCTTTCTGTCTCCAGCGTTTGACACCCCTGTCATTTCCTCTGCACCTGGAGGGGCTGTTTGGGGAATCTACTCATTCAAAACCCACAGAGGTCACGATAACATACCTGGGAGTAGGAAAAAATCCTGTAAGTTGGGTAGCTGCTCTTGCTGTATGCATCTGGGGGTCTGTGAGCCAGCAGCACAATGCCATTTAGGTAAGAAACATCACTTAACGAAGGGCAAGGCTGTCAGAGTTTTCCCTGTAGAAAGGGGAGCGACAGCGTCAATGTGGGGAAAATGGAAGCATTTGCTGGTGACGAGACCAATTCTGTGTCCTTAACTTTCATGCCTGTTTCATCAGCCTCTTCCTCCTTAGTCTCCTCTTGTACAGTTGGAGTCTGTGTTTTCTGGAATATTTGAGACCGCTTCACCTTGAACTTTGAATTCCTTAGCAGCTGCTAGCTGTGCTCGCTGAGATAAATCCTCAATTTTGGCTCTTCCCCTGCCCCGCAGCCATGTAGGTATCAGAAGCTGGGCTCTTGTAGACCTCTGGTTTTGCGATGACAAAGAGGATATTCTTAGATCTCGCGAGAGTGACCTGAGTAACCCCTATAACGTGTGGAAGACCCAGTTTGGACATAGCGTTGCGTGCCTTCTTTTCACTTCGCCTGTTTCGCTTTGCTAGCTGGTTCTTCCTCGGCTCCAGCTGCCGCCGCCGGCTGGGCTTGTTCTGTGGCGGCCTGGGCGGAATCTTGTGCGTCGAGCTCCGGGACTGATCCGTCCCTGTCTCCCTCCGCTCCAGACCCCGGCTCAGCGTGGGGCCACCGCAGCACCTGTCCTCCCGCAAGGGCATTTCTGCGGCTTCCCCGGGCCGCCGAACCAAGGTGGCCGCAGCCTCGGCAGTTCTTAAGACAATTCTGGGCTGCTCTGAAGGCTCTCACTTCTGTTTCAGCTTTAGAATTGGTTTGTTCATTTGAAACATTCCCGCTGGGATTTTGATGGGAATTGCTTTAGAATGAACAAACTAAACTAACAAGCAAAATAGAGACAGACTCATGGATAGATAGTGGCTGACAGCTAAGGGGGTGGGAAGGTTAGAGGGTGGGGAGATGGAGCAAAAAGGAAAGAGGACCCTTGGACAACAGGGTGGTGACTGCGAGGGGGTGGGGGTAGGTGTAAGGGGATAAATGGTATGGGAAAAATACAGCTAAAAAAATCAGCCAGGCCAAGAAAAAAATAAAAGTGTGCTTCGTTTTGAGATAATTTCACATTTTATAGCTTCATTTTCTATTGGCATGGTGATATTAGCATTTGTGAACATACCAAGCCTAACTCCCAGGGGTCTCAGTTTAGACCTCCTTTTCTCCAGGAAACCTTTTTAAAGCTGCCTTCCCAGCAGAACTGTTTTTATCGTTAGCATTGCACTTAACCTTGTGATACCAGAGAGGCTCTTGATTTTGCTGTCTTCCACAGGGTTCTGAGTCCCTCAATAGAAAGAATAATACGCTAGTTGTCATTGCTGTCCGAGTAACAAGCTCAGAGTTTGACCTGTACGTGGCCATTCAATAAATATGTGTCTTTCCTTTGCAGTCTGTGTTTAGAAACTATGACCATGACCATGATGGGTACATCTCCCAGGAGGACTTTGAAAGTATAGCTGCCAATTTTCCCTTCTTGGATTCCTTCTGTGTGCTGGACAAAGACCAGTAAGTTTCAGTTTGTTATATTTTAATGCAACTGCCCTGAAGCAGAAAGTTATTCTCAGAGGAGGGCAAGGAAACTGTTGATTTACATCTTGACAGCTTCCATCCCAGTGCGTTGGCGAGTCTTACTTTTCACTGAATTTTTTTCTTGGTGACCGTGAACGTTACTGGCTGGATGGAATCACAGCACAGACCACATCGTCAGTGCTGAGTGCCAGTGCCCACTTGCAAATGAACCCAGCTCTCCATTTCCCACTCATTTCTACTGCTTAGCTAGTGCATCAAACCTGACACCTCCATCAAAACGAGGAGAGGAGAAGTGGTGTTGGAGCTAGTGTGGTGCAGTATTCAGCGTCAGTGAACCTGCAGGCAGTCTTCAAACTCACGAAGAAAGTAAGATTTTTCTTTTTGATTACTTACAGGCCTTCATGAGAGCAGGTTGTGGCTGCACAGAATCCGGGAGTATCTGTGCCTGTTTTTTTTCTTTGCCAGCTCAAATGCTGTCTTGATAAAGAAAAAAAGTATATTTCTCTTTTTCCTCAAATAATCCTTGAGAAATTAAACAAGTTTAGAGGCTAAAGCCCAGCCATTAAAAAATGATTAAACATAATTGCCAAGAAAGCCTGACATTCATAATTTGATTAATTTTTAACTGTATAAGATTAGTTTGCCATTTAAAAATCATTTATAATGAAATGCTGGATTTTCTAGGTGTAATGTCCAAATATATCACATTAAAATCCTCTCATATTTTTGTTGGTGTAAGAATTAAAAAAAAATTAAATCTGTGATTTATTCAACACACCAAGGACAGCCTTGGTAATATATTATAAATGTCTCAAAACCTTAATTCATCTTATATGTATAGAATATAGAGTACCTTTTAAATGAATTAAATTATTAGTAACATAAACCTCTTTCACAGAATATAATTTAAGTGACCTGCAAACTGCCCACTTTTCCCCTTCATTTGTTTCTATGAGGGGCATGTACACAGAATATGAACTTAAAATCACTTTCCAGTCTTTATTTCTTTTCTCTGTTGGTGTTTTAGATGGAACTGAGGTTGCCCAGCAGATATATATATATATATATATATATATATATATATATATATATATATAAAATATACATATATTTTTTAACAATGAAGGTTTGAAGTATCCATAGCTTACATGATTTCTTTGGTCGGATAGTCAGATGTGGTGGTTTTGAGAGGAGAGTGGACCATCCAGGAAGAGATTCTAGAAAGTCTCTGAAGGTGCGGCACCAAGATTCAGAAGAACAGTCACGGCTAGAGATGCGGAGCGGGAAGTCCTCAGTCCAGGGGCGTAAGCTGGAGTCCCAGACATGTTAGCCAACGTGGGGCCTGAGGAATGCAACTCTGGGGGCTCCTCTCCCTGACATGGAGAAGCTAAAAGGGAGAAGTGGATCCTGCAGGAGAGCCAGAGGAGAGGATCCCGAGAGAAGAGGAAGACCAGGGAAGCACAGGGGCCCGAGGAGGAGACAGTGCCGCAGAGGAGGCAGCCGGCCCTTGTGTCACATGCAGCGGGCCAGTCGACAGGCTCAAGGAATGAATGAGAAAAGGCTCCTGAGGATGTCTTTGGGACATCCTCAACAGAACGGTGGGGTTAGGGACCTGACTGTATGGAGTAAAGAGTAACGGAAGGAATGGAAACAATGTCTGATGAATGTTCTTTTTGAGAACTTTTGGTGTAGGAGAAGAAAGAGGGAAAAGACGAGTGTTGGCAATGGCAGCAGGACCGAGGAAGATATTTTTAGGAGGGAGGTCCTGAGTGTTTTTGTAGAGGAAGAGTGGGTGAAGAGAGGGAGCACAACCTGGGAGGCTGGAGCTTGGGGGATGGGAGCATGACCTCCTCTGACACAGGGTGACTCCAAGAGAGGATTACCGGTGGCAGCGGCCTGGATGACATCATACTGCATAAATCTGAGGATGGTGGGTCCAGTGATCAGTTTTCTGCGTTCCTCTAGCCATCTGATACTTGCAAACTCTATTGCAAGGCAAGAGCTAGGAAGAAGATAGATGTCCTTCTAGAAGCTCCTGTCTGGTAATAAAGGAGACTTACTGTGCACTGGACACACACACACACACACACACCTGCCTACTAAGAAAGCCTTTGCACTCCAAGCCCATGAAAGGTCCTCCTTTAGGATGTAACACAAGTGGACCTTCCGCACCTGCTTTTGGCCGCAGGTGTTTGGGAGGTAAATGATTCAAGAGTGGCAACCGCTTTGCAATATGGTATTCAACGATCCTTCCCTTCTTTGATTCTCTCCACAGGGATGGCCTAATTAGCAAAGACGAAATGATGGCTTACTTCCTGAGAGCCAAGTCCCAGCTACATTGTAAGATGGGACCAGGATTTGTCCATAATTTTCAGGAGATGACCTATCTCAAGCCAACCTTCTGCGAACACTGTGCAGGATTCGTAAGTCTGTCTTCTGTCGTTCTCTCCTGTCGGCAGTCATTCCTGCAGCATTCTGAGAAGGCAGGGAAACGAAGCACTGAGCAGAATGCATTGACTGCCTTAGATCAGAACTCACACAGGATGGCTCCCTGAAAATAACAATTAAATTACAAACAAAAGCAAGATCTGCAGGTTGCATTATGTTCTTTCTAGGAATGCAGGGCTAGTGCAGACAGGCAAGGTGGGTGAGCCTGTTAACTCGAGTGAGCAATTTCTCAAGGAAACGTTTCACCCAATGAGCCGTGGTATTCCTCACGTATACTCAGAAGCGGTACAATTAAGGAGAGTACTCATCCTAGACAGTTCCTCCCAATTCTTATTTCATATGATACCCATCACTAGAAATCCATCATGGCATGGCTCAGTAATTCATAAGTCAAAAAGGAAACAAATCTTTTTGGAGAGAAGATGGATATAATAATAAATAACATTTATTTGACACACCACAGGCTGTTAATCGGGATTAATTACACTAATGTCTATGGAAGTGTCATGGGCATTTTACTCTTCTCATTTGCCTGGGAAGGTCCAGAGGTCCAGAGAGGATAACCCAAGTTTCCCAGGATTGTGCAGCCAATAGTGACCGGAGCAAGGACTCAAAGGCAGGTGTCCTGACTCTGAATCCTCTGCTCTACCCACACCACTGCAACAAACAACGATTGCACACTTTATTTCCCCACATTTGATCATTCTTTGGAAACTAAGGTCAGCTTCGGTCCTGGTATTAAACAAAGACTATTGGGCCCTGGACATCTTCTAGTTGACACCCAAGTTACAATAAGGTGAAGAGCGTGGTACTCTAGGTGAGGGTGGCCCGGAAGCCGAGTGAATATAACTAACTACTCCTCTGCAAGATGCCAGAGCTCAGTTGTGTGAGCTTCATGCAGTGGTCATGTCCCACCGTTGAATCCTATTGCATTCACTGCTGATAGTATATGCTACTAGTAAGTCACTGTTCCCCATCCCATTCTTGAAGGGGGCCCCAAAGGCAGGAGTTTGTTTTTAAGCACACCCCTCTGGCAGTGGTTAAATGAGAGCCAGTGGTTACCCCCAAGGGGTCCCAGCAGCAGATGTGGGCAAGGGGCAAGGCAGGCCTCGCCAGCTCTCTTCACCCACCCCAGGGGAGGGGAGCTGCTTCTATCAGCTTCACCTCTGGGGCTGCATTACATGACCCCTTTGTCAGAAAGCAAATCTCTCCTTTTCCATGGTTCTGTCTTCTGAAGGGAATTTCTGCATGTATCTAGACCTGAAAATGCTGAAGTAGGATGAGGCCGCGTGTAGCCCTCTACTGCAGAGTGGGGCCAGTGAACCTGTTAGGCTGTGGTACAGCCAGCCGGAAGTCAGGCCGAGATACCTGTCTTTCAGTGTGCTGTGAGCCTGGAAGGCCGTTAGCAAGTCTCAGGAGCTCATCTCTGCTCTCAGGGCCTTCCACAGGTCTCTCCCTTTCACGGAGGTGCCTGCTCTACAGAAGCACAAGGTTGTGTTTGTGGGGAGCCTCCATGCTCTTCTGCCCAGCTCATCAGAGCAGATTTGCTGGCACTAGGTTCTTAATGCAGCTCTGACAAGGTAGAAAACGCTGGGCTTGGAGTCTGGAACCCTGGCTTTGAATCTCAGTGCTGCCCCATATATTAACTCTTTGTCCTTGATCAAGTTATCCACCATCTCTCTATATTTCTATCAATAAAGGGGGTTAACACTTACTTGTCATGTTGTTATGATGATTAAATGATATAAGACATATTGCATGTCACATAGCTCAGTGTGAATATTTCTGTTTTTTTAGTGTTCCTTGATACTTTTGGAGTTTAATGGAAATTAACTCAAAGTTTTAATGGCCTTTTAAAAAAATATGTATGTATTTAATCATTGATATACTCTGATTTGATCTTTACTCACAAACATTTTAAAAAGTCCATTGGTTTCAAAGGCATTTATAAATATAACTCTTTAGATATGTCACTGAAAGGCATTGTAGGGGAATGCAAGGAACCATTTTTCAGTTCCTGGACTACCTACTTTTGAAATAAATTCCATTTTAAAGATAAGGAAGACAGACACTACTTGAAATACATTTATTTTAAAATTAGAATTTCAGAGCTGAAAGAGTTTTGCTAATTCCCTTATTTGAAGGTCTGGAGAAGTTCAGTGACTTCCCTAAGGTCACATGGATCTTTAGCAGCAGGTCTGTGACTCATATCCAGGTCTCCTGACTCCCCAGCCCAGTGCTCCTTATACCACAATCTATCTCTCCAAATGTTACAGCTGCCCGGGGCGTCCCATCAAAGGACTGTAGGAAGTACTCCTGCACACATGTTTACACGAGGCCACCCTCTCCTGACCTTGGCTAGCAGCCTCTTCCTGCCCAGCGTTGTCTCCTAGTTATTAAGTAAGCCTTTGCAAGCAATGCCCTGGCTTCCCCTCCTGAGAAGACTCATGTTCGACCATATCTTTTTCAGCAGTTCCTGCCACTATGCTAATAATGTGCCATATCTGGGTATTAGGATGCTTCCTAAACCTTACCTTTGCTTGTCCTAGATCAGTGGCTTTTGCTCACACTCACAGCACTTGGGAGTATGACTTCCTGTCTTTATCTCAAGTGACACCTTCTTCTTGCCCTAGTTACTAGCTTTGAGACTTTGCCAAGTGACTCCACTGCTCTGTACCTCAGTCTCCCCACCTGAAAAAGCGATGAAATTGCTATTTCCTATCCCATGAGGATATTGTGAGGATTAAGTGAGTTAATACACACCGAGAGCTTAAAACTGTGCTTCTCCCATAGCAAAAGTTGAATAAACCTTAGCTATCAGTGTTATTATTCTTAGTACTATTACCAAGCACTCAACGAAGAAACAATTTATCACTACAAAGGTTCCCAGACATGGGACCTTCCAAATCATTTAATTTCCTGGATCATCACACTTACTTATTATTAAAAAAAGAAGAAGAAGAAGCAAACAAGATGATCTTGAAGGTCCTTGTGGCTCTGACATGATGTCACCGCCCTGACCACCCACTTCCCTTGGCTGCATCGTCCCCTCCCGCCCTCATCCTCTCATCCTAGGCACTTGAGGCCTTGCTTCCAGGCAATTGTCTTAATAATCTTTCTTGTCCCCAAGGTAATGTATTGCCCTGTCTCAGGAGGCATTTGCATCCTATTACTATATTTTGAAGAACCAAATAACTTTGAAGTCTCGAAGGAATCTCTCTTCTCTGGGGGAGTTTTATAAGAAGGAGGACAAGGAGCAGCCTTTACAATGCCCCTGAGTCGCTTTATGTTGGCAGCTACTTATTCTTTTCCTCCGGCCATAATGCCCACACTCAGGGTGTGCTCCCCTACAGGGCATTGTGAATGACACCTCCATCAGCCCCAGTAGGCCACTAGACCTGTGTCTGTCAAAATTATTTTATTAGGTAGACACCAGCCACCTAACCTAAGCATTAAAAGGGTAGGAGTGGAGCTTCTCCAGCTTGAGCTAAGTCCATTTGATTCACCCATACTCTGTGTTTAGGTGCCCCGGGTACCCACATGTAAGCGCTGTGAAAGGCATGAGAAAGGATGTGGGAAGGCCCCTTCTTCACCAAGTTTCCATTGTGTCACGAGGGCAAAGACACCACCACCAGGACGATGTGCCTGAACTGCCTGGGCAAATGCCCTCACATCTCTCCAGAGACATTTGTCACTTCCTACATCCTACTTCCTCCTTGGTTGCTGGGGTCTCAGCCTTTTCTGCATCCCCTGCAAGCCCTGGCACAGGCCACAACACTGAGCAAAGGTGGACAGTGAATACACAAATGAAGGCTAGATCCTTTCCTCTTCCATATTCTTTCCAAGGACTAGTGCTACTCAAAAAATAACCCAGAAAAATATAAATGCTTTAGTGGGAAGTACACTGCTTAGGTTGCTTAATTTCCTGTAGTGGGCACCAAGAGCAGTGTGTGATTAAAAATAAAACCAAAGAGACACTCTCCCCCATAAATTTTGCTGAGAGGGCATGATGCTAAACTACAATAAATGCACCCACGTCAGCTTCCCATCCCAGCTCCCATTTGGCTCCCAGATGGAAAAGGGAAGCAAAATTCCTGTTATCACCCCAGCTGGAATGGGCTGGGGAGGGCTCTTCTATCTGACAGGAAGGGTGTCAGGAGCAGCTACATCCTGTTTGTGCTCCCTGAGTCATCAGCTTCCCAGGGCTTCCTTCTTCCATGGCCTTGTTTTCTTTCCAGAGTTTTCTTCAGATTCCCTGACATCCCTTTGTCTTTTGTTACAGCTCTGGGGAATAATCAAGCAAGGATACAAATGCAAAGGTAAGTGAATGTTACTGTGTTAACATTTTTAAACACGACGTTGGGGACAAAAATGAAATTTGACGAAACTGCAAAACTCTTGGTATCATGAAGAAGCTGGGTCTTTTGGGCCACTGGCAACTGAAGAGTTAGTATGTTCAGGAAAGGACTCCCTGAGGTTTTGAGAGCCCGGACTGGATTTTCACAGCTTGTTAGACAAGGAAGCAAACCACCTCTATCAGCCTGCATACGTCTAGCTCCCCTCTCTAAGATGTTGTGCTAAGAATCATCAACACCCAGATGAGGTGGGAATTCTGAAGTGGGACAGGCCAAACTCAAATGCTGTATTACGAGAACTTTATCCTTCGGGGACACACACACACACTTCCTTCTGTAATACGTATGCATTGCTGTCGCTCTCACATGGCTATTCCTTTCTCTACCAAGTCACAGATGATGATGAGAAAAGAGGAGGAAACTTACAACACTTTTGTCCTTTTTTTAAAAAAGATTTTATTCATTTATTTCTAGAGAGGGAAGGGAGGGAGATAGAGAGAGAGAGAGAAACATCAATATGCAGTTGCTGGGGGTCATGGCCTGCAACCCAGACATGTACCCTGACTGGGAATCGAACCTGTGACATTTTGGTTCGCAGCCCGCGCTCAATCCACCGAGCTACGCCAGCCAGAGTACTTTTGTCCCTTTCAATGAATTCATTTATCTAGGTTCCCCATTTAATTAAAATGTATAAACAACTAAATAAATACATATGTGATGAATGCAATACACATGCTAATTACTAGGCATTTAGATCTGTGTTGCTATTTGTACATATGAGATTATTACACATTGTTGATAGTTGATCTAAGAAATTGCTGAATATACAGACTCTTTCTACTGGTGCTTTTAAGATCTGATAATGCTCGTGAAAAATATGATAAAACTACAGAAAATGCCTTCAGATTAACATTGGTCCCTTGTGATGCCCTTTGTTCCCCAGCCGCCTTTCAGTATTCGGCCCTCATTTTGCAGGAATAGAACACTTTCCTGAATCTCAATGAGAGCTACCTTTTAGTGCCCAAAACTAAATCCTTCCCATTAGTTCTTTGTATCAGTATCTTAGTCTAACTCGGATTTTTACTTTCAAGCAACAGACACTATAATATCTTATTGCCCATTAATTTTATCTTGGTTTCTTTCCCTTGTACCTTAAAAGACACACACACATACACACACAAGTTATGAAGATGTATAACAATTAAACTCTTGGATCATCTTTGTACATACGGTATTTTCTCTTCAAGGTGAAGAGAGTAAAAAACCTAAAATAGACTTGAACTAATATATTACAACTTGATCTTCCTATGATGTCATTACAAGACCATTTGAAACAACACCATCTGGGAGAAAATAGGTGTTGGAAACCATTAGATCCTCTGATGATAAGAGAGAAATATACTCTTTAAAATGATCATATCTGCTCAAGGAATCTAAGGGAAATGTGGGACTCTCATCAGACAAAACAATTATGTGGCTATCTTCCAAAGTGGCCAGAATTTTCTACGCCCAGTAGCAATTAACATTCTACTCTTTAAAGTAAAACATCCTAGTGGGAAACTTCATAGAATCGCTGTGTGCCATTTCAAAGCCACAGTGAAATCTGGAACATATCTATTGAGCATATGCCCACCTTACTTTCTGTTTCTATGCAAAGCAAGGGGGCAGAAGATATAATCACATGCCCTGGAAAAGGTGTTGTGAAATGGAGAATGCAGACCAAGACTGAATGGAGGGACACCTCGCTGTAAATGATCAGCCTCAGCAGTTGGTCCTGGGGGAAACCAGAAGCTGAGGCTTCTCATCCTCCTTCTGGCCCAGGGAGCCTGTTTGTGGGGAATCCATCTGGGCCTGGGAGAGAACCCGGGACCCACGTGACTTGCATTTAGTTTGGGGCAAGGACAGCTCTCCACTCAGCTGAGCCCATGCTTGTTGGCTCCCCAGCACGTCAACGAATTGTGTAGAGGAAGAAGCCGAAGAAATGTAAGAGAACTTTAGGAACTCCAGGAACACAAGAGAGTCCCACTGGCCCTTTTCCAGCCCCTAGACACACCCTGTGGGCCTGGGCCAGCCTCTGAGACTCAATACAGAATTTAGGATGGGGGAGGGGAGGGGGAAGGGGAGGGGTGGGCAAACCGCTCAAGGGCCACTCTGGAAATCTGGTCAGCACCAAAGGCTCTTGGTTCACACTAATCATTTGTGATACTCTGGGACTTTTCAGACTGTGGAGCCAATTGTCACAAGCAGTGTAAAGACCTCCTGGTTCTGGCCTGCAGGAGATTTGCCCGGGCTCCCTCCGTGGGCAGTGGCAATGGGTCGCTGCCCGGAAGTCCCTCATTGCCCCCAGGTAATGTCCTCTACTTTCTTCCTGACCATGATTTCGTCTGGGTTCTGGATCTCATCCTTGTCAGAGTCATCATGAACACCAAGGCATTCCTCAGGGTAGACGGCAGGGCTTTTCCCTCGAGTTGCCTTCACTCCTCTCTGCTTTCAGGTTGCACCAGCATGCAACTCACCTGCCGCCAGTTTCATTCTGTCTCTGGTCTGTTGCTCTGGGACCTTACCTGTGGGACTCCTGTTGTTTGCACCAACTTTTGATGTATTTTTTAAGATTTTATTTCTTTATTTTTAGAAAGAGGAGGAGGGCGAAAGAGAGGGAGAGAACATTGATGTGAGAGAGAAACATCGATTGGTTGTCTCTTGCAGGTGCCCCAACTGGGGACCAAACCTGCAACCCAGGCACGTGCCCTGACTGGGAATCAAATTGGCAACCTTTCACTTTGTGGGATGAAGCCCTATCGATTGTGCCACACTGGTCAGGGTTGATGGTGTGCTATAAAGCAGTCAGATGCCGAATAATCTCAATAATCTTTCCCTCTCCAGTGCAGGATGAGGTGTTCGAGTTCCCTGGTGTCACTGCTGGACACCAAGACCTGGACAGCAGAGCCATCACACTGGTTACGGGCTCTTCTCGCAAGATCTCCGTGAGGCTGCAGCGGGCCACCACCAGCCAGGCCACCCAGACCGAGCCTGTATGGTCAGAGGCTGGCTGGGGGGACTCAGGGTCCCACACCTTCCCCAAAATGAGATCCAAGTTCCATGACAAAGCAGCAAAGGACAAAGGCTTCGCCAAGTGGGAAAATGAAAAGCCCAGGGTACAAGCTGGCGTGGATGTTGTTGACCGGGGCACCGAGTTTGAATCTGACCAGGATGAAGCAGACATGGGTGAGACCCGACAGGATGGTGAGGTCAGTGCTGGGTCCGGCCACAAATGAAATCAGGACAGAAGCTGACAGGGGCTCAGATGAGTGTTACAGCGAGTCCTGGAGCCAGCCTGGTAGCTTTGAAAGTAGAATGGTTGGGAATCAAGACATACCACTTTTTTAGTTTTGCCACTGGCTAGTTATGTGACCCTGGGCAAAACCATTTCTTCTCTTTGCAGCTCAGTTTCATCCATCATAAAATTAAACTGGATAAGTTCTAAAATCTAGTGAAAGTGGCCTTGTCAGGGTGCTGAAATGATGTGTCGAGGACCCATTGCCTGTTGTGTGCATTCATTACACCAGTGTACTGTACTGATCTGCTTAGTTCTCCAAGTTAGAATCAGGAGGCAGTGGACTCACAGGACTGGTAGGAAAAGGAAAGTTGGAAACTCTTACCCCTATTCAAAAAGAGGCTCTGACAGCCTTGTGGAGAAGGGAGTGGCGAGAATCAGAGACACGGGGACCTCGAGGTTCTATAAGCCAGACTCTGCCTCCACGCAAAAATTCCACTCTATCATCCAAAGCAAATTGGGAAGCATATGGAATTTGTTAGAACAAGCTGAAAATATAAATTGATTCAAGATGGACGTAGATGCATTTATTAGTCAACAGTTCATAGTGTATGAAGAAAAAAGATTCAGGGAAATTGGTGTCATATTCCTAACCTTCAAAGCAATGTCATGGAGGGCAGCCATTGTCTCCCTACTGAATCAGTCTCATAAACCCAATATTGGGTTAGGCAGAGATCCTCCTGGATCCAGCCAGTGCTTTTTATTCTTACGGGTGGTCCTGCACATTCCACATGCTTCAGGAGACCTAAACACTCGGTCTCCACAGTTTCCCATGATGAGAAAAACTAATGATCTTTAACCAAAATTCCTCTCCTTCCTTCGTCATTGAAAACAATTAATAAGGAGGACGCACATCATCTTTGGTCAGATGAGGTTTATTGCAAGTTCCTGCTGAGCCATCTTTTTCCCTTTCTTACAAGACCAACTTTTAAAAACAACTTTATCAAGATATAATTTACATACTGTCAAGTGTACCCATTTAAAGTCTATAGTTCCGTGGTTTCTAATATATTTACAATGTTGCACAACCATCACTGTGACTGAAGTTTAGAACATTCTGTCATTCTAAAGAATCCCCCTGTGCCCACCGGCACTCACTTTTCATCTCCCCCACCTGCCCTAGCTCTAGGCAACCAACTCATCTACTTCTTGTACCTATAGATTTGCAATACCAACTTTATATTTAACGTTCTTCCTGCCAACCATCCAGGCAAGCATTTCAGTGCTACCCACTGCTTCTTTTAATTGTCTAACATAGTTCAAGCCGGGAATATAAAGATGAATAAGAAAGCTTTAGGATTTGATGACAGAAGAAGACATCCTAGGGCAATGGATCTTATTGTACGGTCTAAAAAGAGCTTCAGGGAGCTCATGACAGCCCATTATCTTTTGTGTGAAATTATATATGGACGTCTGCTCATCTGGAGGGAGAGTGTCTTAAGGGGTTCTGCACACCAAAAAGATCAAGGAATCACTGTGTTACATTTTTCATCTGATGCCTGAAATTGTGCTAGTCACCCCAAGTGCCACCTCAGCCTACAGAGGCCATTTCTGTGAGCAACGTGGCTGTCATTGAAATCTCGGAAAAAGAGCTTCTATGGGTAGAGTAACAGGATGCCCAGCCAGAGCTCTGATGGTGCCCACCTCATGGACCATCTTTGAATTCAGACAAGTACCTGTGTTTGTTGAACAAACAGTGGAACTAGCCATGAGCCCACTTCTGTTGACTAGCAATGTTGAAGTTACTTAAACCTTGCCCTGGCTTAGGAGAAATTCACAGGCTATCGGTGTGGGGAGGCTGCTGCCATGGGTAAGATTTCCTGATCTTTAATCCCTATAAAGAAATAAAAACAAAGACCTGTTTAACATTTTATTTAATTCTCTAAAAATTGGAACTTTATACTCAGGTGTTCCCTTACCCTTTCAATCTTCTGATCTCATAAGTCAAAGAGATGGTTTTCTGACCACTGGTACTTAATTTCATTTGCGGTAATTAAAGAAGACAGTATGTTCTTACGTAAAATGCATATGACATATAATCTTACCCTCATCCAAATCAGCAAATGAGGAGACACCCTTGTTTAGAGAAAAGGCAAGCAGGAAAAAATGTGACAAAATTACAACAAGAGTTAAAAATGTAGACAAAGGACTTTTCAAATTTAAGAGTTTTTCTGCCAGGCAAGATCAGTGAATGGCTTTAGGAGAAATGATCTACACATTTACTATTTAGGTTCAGATCATGTTTATGAGTCCTATACATAAAGATAAACAAAGAAGGCAGTTGGGTTTGTATATTTCCTTCAGTGGAGTTCCAGCATTTACATTCATTTTATTTTTTTTAAGATTTTATTTATTTTTATTTTTCGATAGAGGAGAAGGGAAGGAGAAAGAGAGGGAGAGAAGCATCAATGTGTGGTTGCCTCTCGCACACCCCTTACTGGGGACCTGGCCTGCAACCCAGGCATGTACCCTGACTGGGAATCGAACCAGTGACCTCTTGGTTTGTAGGCCAGTCCTCGATCCACTGAGGCACACCAGTCAGGGAAATATTCATTTTTAAAATATAAGGGCAGAAACATTTTCTGTGATGGTGGATATCCTTTCGCCAGTGATCACTGAGCCCATGGATGGCAAGAACAGGTCAAGATCATTCTCTTGGCAGTAAGAATGTGTATATTTTTTTTACAATGCTTCTCTGCTTTTATTATCTTCTGCTAACTTAAAATAATAACAAATTTAGAAGGGCTAGGAAGTGCTGGACTAAACAGAGTTAAATAGGTTTATCTATACAAGGTCTGTCTAGAAGGTATCCAGCCACATCATATGAAAAATAGAGGCATTTATTGAAGAAGATGCAAGATACAAGAAACATTGTACATAGGACAATGATGCCTCAGTCAGTCTCCTTCAAAGTAGGCACCTTGGGATCTCACACAGTTCTTCCAATTGCCATCAGCTGCTCCATTGTGTTTTCCTGAATTTCATCGACAGTCTAAAATCTTTTCCCTTTCAAAGGTGACTTCAGTTTTGGGAAAAGTAAGAAGTCACAGGGCACCAAATCTGGGCTGTAGGAGGCTCTGTCACCTGAGTAAACTGATGTTTTGCCAAAATTCTCTGCATGAGATGTGATGCATGAGTGAGCACATTGTTGCGATAAAGCAGCCAATCACCAGTTGCCCATAGCTTTGGCCTTCTGCATCATCCAAATAGTTGCCACGGAGGAATGTTCGAACTTAACATAAAATTTGATGCAGATTTGTTGCTCTACTTGCTCAGTCATTTTGAATGTGATGGCCACAGTACACATGCTCACTCAATGGTGTCTACTGCCCCAACTGACTAGTACAGTGAAGTCGTCATTGTTCATGCATGCACATTCCAGTCCACGCCCCCTGGCTGCCGGTTTACATTTGTCATGCAAACCCTTCTCGTTATATTAACAATGGCTGGACTTTTTCCAGACAGCCCTTATATATACCTATATATACTAGTATAGATATATATCTCTTTCCCCTATAAATTTTCTCAGTGTCCTTATACTAATTTATATTATGAATTTCTAAGAGGGGAACCTCAACAATGGGTATTGGAAGAACCAATGCTTTGTGGAACACCCTCTAAGGAGAAATACAGTAAGCATCCTCATTGGACTTTATATGGGAGTCTTTAAGATTTCATGTATCAGGTGCATATGATGTTTTAATGGCCTCTAAATCTTTTCTTTAAACATTTTATTTATTTTTAGAGAGAAGGGAAGGGAGGGAGAAAGAGAGGGAGAGAAACATTGATATGTGAGAGAAACATCCATCCGTTGCCTCTCACATGCCCCCAACTGGGGACCTGGCCTGCAACCCAGGTATATGCCCTGACTGGGAATTGAAACAGCAACCTCTTAGTTTGCAGGCTGGCACTCAGTCCACTGAGCCACACCAGCCAGGGCACACCTTCTAAATCTTGAGAGTACAGGTACTAATCATTTGAGATGTTCCCTCAAATAAACCACATGCTAGAAACATTCCTTTTTTGCCATTGTTAAATGAGATGCAACTGTACAACAGGTTCTGATTCATATTGCAGGATGGCTGACTTCAGCGGAGGACACCAAAGGCGTTTGGAGCAGCAAGATGAAAACTCAAAACAGTCCAACTCTCAGGAAGTTACCTGAAAAGATATCTGGACATTTACTGCCTTATGACACCGTGGGATCTCCCTGATTGGACTGTGGGACAGAAGCTCTACCCTATGAACTATTTATTTCCTTGTCCTCTGCCCCTGGTCAGGTGCCGTGAACTGTGTTATGTAGTAGGTGGGTTTCTCATGTATCTCTTTCTGGAGCCATTCATATACGGGTGAAATGAAAGCTTTTGTGCATGTACTTGACACTTATTCTCTAAACTCAGGCTTTGCTTTTTTTGTGAAAATATTATTTCAGTATTTTTATATACTGTTTTTTTTTTGGGGAAGTGTTTAATGAGGAGTTGATTTTGAGGATTTATTTGTGGGGTTTTTGGATGGGACCAGGACTTAACATTTTCTTGAGGGACAAGGACGCTCTTCAGATCCTGGAATGCAGTGATTCTTGTAATGAGGATCTGTTGCAAGAAGAAGCTGTTTACATTGTTTTTGTAACATGGTTGCTATTAGGATGTGTAATAAGCCACTCATTTATATATCACATTAGTCTTACCAATTTCACATCACTAAGAAGCTCTGACACAGCCATGAAAACTCTCCTAATATTTATAATGGCCATAAATTATAAATATTATAATTTGAAAATTAACTATCCTTGTCCTACCTGATATGGATTAGTCATTTTTCTTAGAACTTTTATTGAGACTGCTATTGGCGCTCTTCCTCCTGGGAGCGTGCCCACACCTTGCTTCCCTCTCAGGCGCGCAACTCCTAAACTCTAAGGTCCCCCCACAAGACTCGCAACCAAGGGAGCAGTGGGCAGCAGCAGCTGGTCTAGGGCTACCCCCTTGACCCTGTCTGCTAAGCCCCGTTTCCTCTGACTCTCCAGTGAGCCGAAGCAGCCCTGCCTAGGCTCAGTTCTTTCCTGTAACGTTCCTAGAGTGCCAAAGCAGCCCGGCGTGGGCTCTCTCCCGTTGCTTCTTCTGTCCTAAGCCCTTCATGGTTTCCCTGTCCCCAGCTTTAACAAATGTATTAAAAAAAAAAAATTCTGCAATTAAGAAATGTGAGTAACAATTAAAAAAATCAATTCAAGTTGTTGGAAATAAAATTTAGAAGAAAGAAAAACCACGTAGTGAAATGAAAAACAACCAGTAATTTTTAAAAACTCAAAATAGTTTTAAGAATTTTGTTGGTTAACAAAGAAAAATTTTGGTTGTGAAAGAAAACTCTTGTGTTCTTCCTAAGAAATTGCCACCCATAACTCAGAAGTCATAGAAAGCAAATAATCACAAACCACCTTTGATTAATATTTCATTAAAAAACTTAAAGGATCCATATTTTCAATATCTCCCTCTGACCCCAAAATAGCTACACATGGGCCTGTTTGTTGCATGATGAGAAGAAAGAGAACTTGGTTCAAGACATTCAGAAGTAGAGATGGGATTGTGCCTGTGGGTGAGGACAATGACCTTCTACTAAGTGACCGGTCAGAAAGTATACCCAAGGAGGTGCACTGGTGTGCATTTGGGAGTTTGAGTGTATATATTCCATCTAAGACTGAATTCACTTCTACTTGGGGCCGTCACCTCAGTAAAGAAATGCCCTCCTTTTCTCCTTTACCCAGTTGAGGACATTTCTGCTCAGCAAACGTTTGTTGAGCGTCTGCTCCAGGCAGGTCCTGTGCTGGATGCACAAGGACCAGCAGTGCTTGCTTGACCTCTGCCCTCAGAAGGTGAGAGCCTGAAGGCGTGTGAGCAAGATGGCTGCTTAAAATACAGTTTCCCATTTGCTAGGACTGACTTCATCGTGTGACTCGGAGATCGATTAGCAGAGAGACTGCAAATTCAAGGAAGCTGTTAGTGGAGGGAGCTGTGATTAAGCCAGGTCCTAAGAGCGCTCACCATGTGGAAGCACGTCAGAAGGCAACCAGCCACCCCCAAGTGCTGGTTCTATGCATATACATTGTCTATTCCTCTTCATAAATGCAATGAACATACATGTTAATAAAATTAAAAACAGAAACTGGCAACTTAAGTACAAACAACCTTTCTTGTGTGTGTGTGTGTGTGTGTTTTTAATTTAAGAAAATTCAGAAAGAAACTTCTTAAATGTTGGACTGTTCCTTTCAAAGCAATTATCACTTGCTGCTCAGTATGGGTTATTTTCGAGTTTTCACATATAAGAATTTTATATTGTCAGCCTTCTTGTGACAAAGATACTAAATTACCTTGAATAAAAAAACAAACAAAAAAGAAGATAAACATTATAATGTCCACATTTTGTGCACATTATACATGGGATTATTATGCCCATTATTATACCCATGTATAATATGCACATTCTTATTTTTTCCTCAAATATTTGGGCAAAAAGTGTGCATTATACATGGCAAAATACAGTACATCTGTGTATGTGTATGTAAATATGTATATTACAATACTATTATTTGAGGAAATTTGAGTCTATGAATAACTTTATAACTTTGATTATACCATTTAAAAATTTTTTTCACATATTTTTATTGTTTTTTTAAATTTTATTTAAATTGTTGTTGCAGTACAATTTTCTATCTTTTACTCCTATCCCAACCCACCCACCCAGCCCTCCCCTCCTTCCTCCCATTTCCACCCGCCCCTAGTTTTTATCCATGTGTCCTTTATGCTTGTTCCTGTAAACCCTTCCCCTTTTCCCCTGAAATTCCCCTGACATATTTTTATTGTTGTTCAAGTATAGTTGTCTCCATTTTCCCACAATACTCCCCTTCACCCCAGCCATCCCACTTCCCACCCTTGATCCTACTCCTCTTTGGCTTTGTCCGTGTGTCCTTTATACTTGATCCTGAAAACCTTTCCCCCTCTTTCCCCCCATTATCCCCTCCCACTTCCCCTCTGGTTACTGTCAGTTTGTTCTTAATTTCAATGTCTCTAGTTATATATTGCTTCCCTGTTTGTTTTGTTGATTAGGTTCCACTGATAGGTGAGATCATATGGTGTTTGTCTTTCACTGTCTGGCTTATTTCACTCAGCATAATGCTCTCCAGATCCATCAATCCATCCATGCTGTTGCAAAAAGCAGGAGCTCCTTCTTTATTTCTGCTATGTAGTATTCCATCATGTAAATGTACCATAGATTTTAGATCCATTCATTTACTGATGGGCACTTAGATTGCTTCCAGCATTTTGCTATTACAAATTGTGCTGCTACAAACATTGGGATGCCTAGGTTCTTTTGAATTGGTGTTTCAGGATTCTTAGGGTATAGTCCCAGGGCAGGGTATAGTCTTCTTGATGAATTCTTCCCTTGAGTAGTATGAAGTGTCCTTCTGGGTCTCTTTGTATGGTCCTTGTTTTGAAGTCTATTTTGTCTGATATGAGTATTGCTGTCCCAGCTTCTTTTTCCTGTCCATTACTTGGAATATTTTTTTCCAGTCCTTCACTTTCAGTCTGTGTAGGTCTTTTGTTCTGAGGTGGGTCTCTTGTAGGCAGCATATGTGTGGGTCATGTTTTCTTATCCATTCAGCTACTCTATGTCTTTTGATTGGGGCATTTAATCCATTTAAGTTTAAGGCTATTATTGATAAGTACTTATTCATTGCCATTTTTCTGTACCTGTGTTTCTCTCTCTCACTCTTTTTTTCCTCTTTTCTTAAAGCAGGCCCTTTAGCATCTCTTGCAGAGTTGGTTTGGTGGTGGTGTATTCTTTGAGGCTTCTTTTGTCCAGGAAGCTCCCTATTTGGCCTTCCATTTTAATTGAGAGCCTTGCTGAATAAAGTAGTCTTGGTTGCAGGCCTCTGGTTTTCATTACTTGGAATATTTCTTGCATTACCTTCTGGCTTGGAGCATTTCCATTGAAAAGTCAGCTGCTAGCCTTATTGGGCTCCCTTGTATGTTACGTCCTGTTTCTCCCTTGCTTCCTTCAAGATTCTCTCTTTGTCATGGAATTTTGCCATTTTAATTATGATGTGTCTTGAAGTGGGCCTCTTTGGGTTCCTCTTGATTGGGACTACCTGTGTTTCCTGGATTTGTGTGACTTTTTGTCTCATCAAATTAGGGAAGTTTTCCATCATTACTTTTTCAAACAGGTTTTCTATCCCTTGCTCTTCTTCTCCTTCTGGTATCCCTATTATACAGATATTATTCCATTTCATGTTGTCCAGCAGTTCCCTTAACATCTTTTTGTTCTTTCTGAGTCTCTTTTCCTTTTTTTGCTCTTTCTGGGTGCTTTTTTTCTACTTTGTCCTCCAGCTTGTTGATTCAAACCTCTGCTTCATCTAGCCTGTTTTTGATTCCTTCTACTGTGTTCTTCAGTTTAGAAATTATATTCTTCATTTCTTCTTGGCCCTTGTTGATACTTTCTATTTCCTTTTTCATGTTGATATAGTTTGCAGTAAGTTCCTCATAGTTTCCCTGTAGTTTTTGGTAATTCTCTGTGAGCTCATTGAGCTTCCTTATAACCATTGCTTCAAACTCAATATTTGATAGTTTACTTGCCTCTATTTCATTTAGCATTCTTTCTGAGGCTTCCTCCTTTCATTTGGGGTTTCTTGTCTTCCCATTGTTTGTGAGACTTTTCTTGTTAGCCTCTGCTTCTTCAATTGATCTGTTCTGACTGCCTGGGTTAATGGTGTGAACTTCTATGGTAGGAGACCTGTGATATTAGGTGGTGCAGTCCCCTTCATCTCCTGAACTTGATGCTCTTGGGATGCCATTTATATTGGCTCTCTGGATGTAATTGGGTTCTGATTGTTGTTGGGTAGGTCTTTGTAGGTCTTTGGTGGGTCCTTCCCTCCAGCTGGTTGGCCAAAGGTCACTCCACCCACCGCATCTTGTTTGCTGTTGTGCAGGTGCTGCGAGAAGAAAACCACAAAGCCCAGGGAACAAACCCACAGCGGCAAAAATATCCCCCCACCCCTGCAATCTCAGTATCAACAGCAAATGAACTAGTATTAATAAGGGTGTACAGAGATTAAGACTATTATAAGAAAGGAGAGAAATAAACTATAATATAAATTCTGGTGACTTAATATGCACAAACTTGCTGGACAAGAAATGAATGTTAAAAAGCTATGCAGGGAAGAAGATATCACCAATCATGGAGAAGACCACAGTGGATTTCGTCTTGGTAGCCTCTAGTATTTACCATTATTTTTGTTTTCTGGATCTGCCTCTGGTGATGTCAGATGTTGACCCCACCAACCTAGGCAGCCTGCTCTGAGACTGCCAGGGATCCACTGTCTATAGTTGTCTCCTTCAGTTGTTAATCTAGTCACTCTGCAATCCGCAGTCAATCTTAAACCCCATAGGTTAGGGCAGAATCCCTCCTGGGGCTGGAGCTGTTGCTTCCCCCCAGGCTGCTGCTGCTCAGAGGGGAGTGGTCTGCCTGAGTAGGATGGCTGCTGCTGTGTGGGTGTCAGCTCAGCACCAGGATCCTGGTGGCCACCTCTGTCAGTTCTCTCCCCAAAGCTTCTGTCCCCAGTCTCTCCTCAAGCATTTCTGGTCCACTCTGCACCCCCTTTGCCAGGGATACTGTCGATGGCTGTCTCTTTCAGTTGTTAATCTAGTCATTCCGCACTCAGCATTCAGGCTTAAGCACCAGAGAGCCAGGGCAGTCTCTCCTGGGGCGGGGCTGCCGCTGGGGAGGGGAGTGGTCAGCCTGACCAAGATGGCTGCCGCCATTTGGGGGAGGACTCAGCACCGGGATCCCAGCAGCTACTCTCTCAGCTGTCTCCCCAAAGTTCCATCCCCAGTCTCTCTTCAGGCGTCTCCAGCCCACTCCGTCCCCGCCTTTGCCGGAACCCCGGGTAAGTGGCAGCACATGAAAATCTGTGCATTTATCCATTAAGCGGCTTTCTGCATCTCCAGCCAACTGTCTCTGGCAGGGAGCAACCCTGCTGCTGTTCGCCATCACTTGTTTTCTGTGTACTTTTTGGGCTCTGATGTTCTAGGCCGGGGATCCCAGCTTAGGGTTTAGACCCGATTCTTCTCAAGGGGATCCAGCGGGCCACTTAATTATCCCTCTGGTGCTGCCACCTGTGGGCGCCCGGCCAGCCCTCTCGAGTATCCACTGTACTCCTTACCAGTCGGTTAGTACTGAAGCTGATGCTTCTGTCTGTCCAAGGTTGTAAGGCTTCTCTCTTGCTATTGTTCAGTTGTTTGTTCTGGGTAATTTCTCCACAATTGAGTTTTAATTCCAGATTGGCCCTGGGAGGAGGTTAGTGTGGCTGCCACTCACTCCTCTGCCATCTTGCCGATGTCTGATTATATCATTTACTCATGACAATGTTAACTGTGATATCCTATAATCAGTAAAATAAACAAAATAGGCAAACTCATGATGGAGCAGAGATACATTCCTCCAGAACTCCCTTTTGTGGTTTTGATCACTGTTACCTTTTAGGTGAAAAGCAAAAACAAAACTCTTGACAGTGACTATCATTAGGTACCAGGAGGGGATATGTTAGAGGATGCAATTGAGCCTTCACTGAAAGATGTACAAATTGGGTTGTTGCTGCTTTTTTAGATCTGTCTAAACCAGAGGGTGGCCCTAATTGGTATTTGAGCAATTTAAGTTGAGTGACTGTCTCCCAAATTAATAATGTTCCCAGATTTCTGTGGTAAGAGTCTCCAAAGGCACAGGAGTTTGCTATTAGTAATACAGGACTCCTGCAGAAGGGAGCTGTTATTGATGGTAGGAGTATAGTGTTCCTAAGGTAAACACATTGATTTTGCCAAAGTATATGAGACTCTAGAATGACTGAGGAGAAATTTCAAATGAGATCACAATATACCTTTGGCGTGCAATCCGCAGCCAGATTTAAATCCCACTTTTGTCTCTTAGAGTCATGAGATCCTGGCCAAGTCAATGTATACCAATTTGAGCCTCAATTTCATTATTTAAAAAAAAATATCTCACCACCTTCCTCAGCTTCTTCATAGAGTTGTTATAAAGACCAAGTCAAGTCAAACTATATTATGTAAAAGTACATTGTAAAGACCTTTTAAGTGAATATTATTTTGCAATTAAGCAGGATTCTTCTCCAAAACTGTCTTTAAGCTCTCAGACTCTGTGTGTTGTATGGCTGTGTACTTTGGAGGCTTTAAATACATTTAAATAAAATTTGTGTCAATAGGG